CCTTTGTCACCCCCGTCTGCATCTATGGCACCGGACAGGTGAGCGGGATTGTTGGCAATCACGCCCATAGGCCTGCCTTCCACGCGAATGAACGCTGTGATGATGCCGATACCCCAATTCGGGCGCAGTTCCAACACCGAGTCGATGTCAGCAATACCTTCGATCACCGCGCGCATATCGTAATAACGCAGACGATTTTCCGGAACAATGAAGCGCAGCTCACGTGGATCTGGCGCTTCCCACTGGGCAACCGGGCCCTGGAAGTACGACAGATACTTTTTGGCGGCTGCAACCGCTTCGGCTTCATCTTTAACCGCAATGTCGACAACGCCATTGGGCACCTGCACATCCATCGGTCCGACTTCTTCGGGCTTGAAGACACCCAGACCACCGCCTTCAATCATAGCGGGGCCGCCGATGCCAATGTTTGAACCTTCAGTGGCAATGATCACATCACAACACCCTAACAATACTGCATTACCGGCAAAACAGCGGCCGGTGGTGATGCCCACCAAAGGCACCAAGCCAGACAGGCGCGCAAAATAGGTAAACGCCCAGCAATCTAGACCGGCTACGCCGGAACCGTCGGTATCACCAGGGCGACCACCACCACCTTCTGCGAACAGCACCGTAGGCAGTTTGTAGTGTTCGGCAATCTCAAACATACGATCTTTTTTATCGTGGTTTTTCATGCCCTGGGTGCCGGCCAGCACCATGTAGTCGTAAGACATGACCAGCGCGCGGGAATCCTGTGACGGAAACATCGCACCATTGATGTGTCCGAGCCCACAGACCATGCCGTCACCGGTGGTGTTTTTGATCAGATCTTCAATACTGCGACGCCGCCGCTGCCCTGCCAGCACAACTGAGCCGTATTCAACAAAGGTGCCTTCATCACACAGATCGGCAACATTTTCCCGCGCCGTGCGGCGACCTGTTTTGCGCCTTTTTGCAACCGCTTCCGGGCGGCTTTCATCAAACCCAGCGGCTTTACGATCCAGCACTTCCTGCAGATCCGGGCGAATAAAATCGAGGTCCAGCGCTTCAGCTTCAACCGCATCGGTAGCCGCCACTTCTGCCGCTTCAAGATAAACCAGTGGATGCCCTTCAAAGACGGCATCTCCCGGCGCTACCCCGAGCCGTTGCACCACCCCACTCACCTGGGCGCGGATTTCGTGTTCCATTTTCATGGCTTCCATCACCACAACAAGGCGATCAACAAACACCTCATCGCCGGGTTGAATTTCAAAACTCACCACGGTCCCCTGCATGGGCGCATGTACCGCCACGATACCCTCAGGCAGCGACTCATTGACAAGATCCAGTACTGCCGGGCCCTGCACACCACCCGCAACGCCGCTTTTGCCATGCTCCAGCACGGCAAGTGGGTCAGCGTTATTGATGCGCGAACCGGCAAGTGCGCCGCCGGAAGTAGACGAATGGTCAGCAACAACCGGCGCAACCAGCTCTGCCATATGGGCATCAACATATCCGGTTGTCAGCGTGGCATTCTGCAGTGCATCGCTTGCCAGCAGGGCCTGCAGAAAATCAACGTTGGTGGCCACCCCATCAACGTGAAACTCAGCCAATGCACGCTGGGCGCGGCGCACTGTTGCAGCAAAATCCTGTTTACTGCTGACAATCACCTTTGCCAGCAGAGAGTCGTAGTTCGGATTGGTGACGTAACCCGCATAACCGCAGGTATCCGTACGCAACCCCGGCCCGGTTGGCACCTCAAACTTGCTCAGTCGTCCGCCGGAAGGCTTAACCGCACCGTCAGCACTCATGGTTTCCATGTTGACCCGCAGCTGAATGGCAAAGCCCTGAGGCGCGGGCACTGCCGCCTGAGTTAAATGCACATCTGCAAGGCTTGCACCTGCGGCAACACGAATCTGCGCCTGTACCAGATCTATTCCCGTGACTTCTTCTGTTACGGTGTGCTCCACCTGCAGTCGGGCATTAGCTTCCATAAAATAAAACTGCTGGGTCCGGGTATCGAGCAGGAATTCAATGGTGCCCAGACCTTTGTAATCCACCGCTTCCCCCAGCCGAACTGCGGCGGCACACAGGGCGTCGCGCACTGCAGGATCGAGCTCAGGCGCCGGCGCTATTTCGATTAACTTCTGATGACGCCGCTGGGTGGAGCATTCCCGCTCCCAGACGTGGCTGACCGCCCCACTACCGTCACCAATAATCTGAACTTCTATGTGACGAGCCTGTGCCACCAGTTGTTCAACGTAGACGTCACCTATGCCAAAAGCAGCCAGCGCTTCGGAAGACGCACGCGTGTAAGCGTCCTCAAGATCTTCAAGCTGTTTCACGACACGCATACCGCGGCCACCACCACCGGCAGTGGCTTTCACCACAATGGCGTCAACGCCGTTGGTCTGCATGAAAGCCCGCGCTTCGTCGAGGCTGACAGCAGAGACGCTACCCGCCAGCACCGGCACATCACATTTACCCGCCAGCTGTTTAGCCGCCGCTTTGTCGCCGAACACGGCAAGCGTTGCAGGGGTTGGCCCGATAAACACAAGTCCCTGCGCCTCAACCGCTTCGGCAAAGGCTGCATTTTCGCTGAGGAAACCATAACCCGGATGGACAGCGTCGCAGCCCTGCTGCCTGGCAAGCGCGGCTATGGCTGGCGCATCAAGGTAAGCTTTTGCGCCAGACCCCTCCAGCGCTACGCTCTGATCCGCTTTCTGCACGTGCAGAGAAGCGCCATCATCCTGAGCATAGATTGCCGTTGCCGTCATGCCCAGATCCTGAACAGCCCGAATAATGCGCACGGCAATCTCGCCACGATTGGCTACTAATACGTTTTTCATCCCTCTCCCCAACAGATTATTTGTTACGCTATCAACCTTTTGACGTCGGCCAGACGCTCGATAGTGGCCAATGCCTCGCCCTGATCCTCACACATATTACGCACGATAATATCGGTAAAACCCGCATCACTAAACCGGCCGAGCTCATCCGCCACTTCCGCCACAGAACCTGCCAGCAGAGCCTCTTCAGGAAAACCACGATAACCCCGCGCGATAAGTTCCTGTTTCATTTTTGCCGCTGCCTGGGAGGTTTCTCCAATATAGATGTCCCGCCGCACGGAGACCGCTGACGGTGTGCGGCTATGTTCCGCACAAGCCTGCTGATACTGATTGAGCTGGGCTGTCGCCTGTTGCAGGTTAAGGCCGGGTTGGGCCAGCCAGCCCTGGGCCATACGTGCCGTTCGATTGATTGCCGCCGGCGCAGATGACCCAACCCAGACCTCCACCGGTTCCGCCGGGCGAGGGTTGATCGATGCATTTTCAATTGGCCAGAAGCGACTGTGGTTAACCGTCTCTCCGCGCCACAGTGCCTGCATGATCGACAGGCTGTCTTCAAACATGGGCACGCGCTTTTTCAGATCAATGCCCATACCTGCACTCTGTTTGCGGTCACCACCCAAGGCGCACTGCAATATGAATCGGCCACCCATGATCGCGGCCAGGGTGCCAATCTGTTCTGCCAGCAAAACCGGATGCCATAGAGGCAGCAGATACAACGCACCCGCCGGCTTATTACCCCACTCCGCCAGCATACGGCCAAGGATGGCCGTGTTCTGGTAGTAATTGGTGGGTGTGACGTGATGATCACCCACAAACAGACTATCCAGATCCGCCTGCCGCGCGGCAGCGGCACGCTCGATCATATATCGGGCACCCAGACGCGGGTCTTCAACCCTGTAATTCGAACAGATAGATATACCAATACGCATCATATCCCCCTTAAAAATTGATCAGCCAAAGTCGGCCCAGATTGACGGTGTGGAATAATCGAAGGCGTGTTCCAGCAGCACTTCGTTGTCGAACAGAAAATTACCCACACAGGGCTGTGAAAAATCACCTGCCAGCAGTTTGGGTAGCCAGATCGCATCATCTGGCCACATCTGTTCATAGGGTATCGCGTCAACTGGACACCAGAACGGCCGTGCCTCGCGGGTCTCGCGCAACTCACCAGAGAACGCTGTCGCCGTAAGTGCAAAGCCCAACCATTGGGGTCCATTGCGCTCAACAAAGCGCATTTCTACACCCACTTGTGCATTCGACACCTGCAGCCCAACCTCTTCCATAACCTCACGACACGCACCTTCTATAACCGTTTCGCCTGAATCCAGTTTACCGCCTGGTGCATTTATGCGACCCGCCCCATGCCCGGTCTTTTTATGAATCAGCAACACCTCTGCCCCCCGCAGGAGAAACAGCAGCGTGCCAACGAATTCCGGTTGCCAGGGATCCTGGTAGGGTGTCGCCAGCTGCAGCATTTCAGACCTACTCAGTCACCAAGCTGGTAACGCGTCTGCAGCGCAGCAAACAGGCGCTCGGGCAAAACTTCGGCGTCACCCTGCAGTTCGGCAAGCAGCTCCACCAGGTGTTCGTTATCTTCCCGCCCCTGCCATACCTTGCGGTAGCTGCCATCCTGATACCCATTGGCCTGGCGAAACTGGTTCAGTACGTTTTTGCCCACGTACATATCAAACAGCTCCTGATAGGTCATGGGCAGATTCTGCATGGCGACAACAAACGGGCCTAATGCAAAAGATTTGCTCTGCAGGGCGTCAGCGGCAAGGGTTTCAATGGAGGCCCGAAATGCGGCTGGATCTGGTTCATCAGAAGGCTGAGCTGCCGCCAGCGTGCTGGCCATGTCTTCGACCAGGTTATCGGCACGTATTAATTCGCTTAATCCAAAATGCCAGATATCCACCAGCTCCAGTTTCACCTGATCCACATCGGGTACCTGATGTTTCCACCACTTCCAGCCAAAATGATCGAGCATTTCTGCACATTCGACCCATATCGCCCGGTAATACTCATAGCCTTGAGTCCGCCACTCCGGGTGTACCTGGATATTGTGGGTTTCCTGCATTTTTGCCATGGTGTGCAGCATGGCAGCCGCCTGGGAGTCTTGCATAAATCGTTCAGAAGGTTGTTGGACAGCTTTGATTATGGGGTATTCTTCTGCTCATGGCCAAAAAGCCGATTACAGCCATGCTCATGCATCCAGTGGTCCGGGATGAACTCTTCCGACCCGACCATCTGGATACCATTGCGCGCGTTAGCCACCTTGTTGCGGAGACCCCGTTTCGAGAGGTTGAGGCTATGGACGAGTTTTTACCTCACATAGAAGTGCTCATCACCAGTTGGGGATGTCCGCGCATCGACGAACATGTGATCTCACAGATGCCTAAGCTCAAACTGATTGCACATCTGGCCGGATCTGTAAAAGGCTTCATCGACGACGCTGTGTGGCGACGGGGTATACAAGTGGTGAACGCTGTCGCCGCTAACGCGGTACCCGTGGCTGAATACACCCTGGCAGCCATCTTGTTTGCCAATAAAAAAGTCTTTGCACTGAATAAAAACTACCTCAAGTACAAAGAGAACCGAGCCCCGTGGAGCAAAGAAGCCCCTAATGTCGGCAACTACCATAAAACCATAGGCATTATCGGCGCATCTCATGTGGGACAACTTGTGATGGACCACCTGCAACGCTTTGACATGCGTGTGCTGATTTACGATCCATTCACCACACCCCTGCAGGCCCGGCACAGCGGTGCACACAAAGTTGGATTGGCGGAACTGCTGAGCCACTCTGACGTGGTCAGCATTCATGCGCCTCTACTAGCAGACACCAAAGGTATGCTTGGCGCTCGCGAGCTGGCTCTGATGCAGGACGATGCCACTCTGATCAATACCGCCAGAGGCGGCATTATCGACCAGGGTGCCCTGGAGGCAGAATTGGTGAAAGGCCGCATCAACGCCATTCTGGACACCACCGACCCCGAAGTGTTGCCACCCCACAACCCGCTCTATCAGCTGGATAACGTGTTTTTAACCCCACATATCGCCGGCTCGCTGGGTGATGAAACCCAACGCCTGACAGATTTTATTGTGGCCGAGCTGGAACGTTACAGCCGCAGTGTGGGCTTGAAGCATCTGGTGCGGCGTGAGCATCTGGCGCGGCTGGCTTGATCATCAAACACCGCTGACAAAACACCGGATCTTTGAGTTGTCCAATATCTTCACGGGCTATACAATCGTTTAATACTTCGTGGATAAGTGCCCTATGAGCCCTCCAATAAAGTTGACACGCGATGCACACCTCGCCTGGATCACCCTCAATCGTCCGGAAAAACGCAACGCGATCAGTGTTGAAACCATGGAGGCGTTGATCTCCACAAGCGCAGACATATCCAGGGACGACAGCATTCGCGCGGTGATTATCAATGCTGCTGGTGAACATTTCAGCGTTGGCGCAGACCTTTCAGCACCCGCTGCTGCCGCAGACACCAGCTTGCTGGAACGCAGACGAACTACAGAAACCGGACAGCGCCTAATGCGCGCACTCCAAGAGATTCGCCAACCTACAATTGCAGCCGTCCACGGCGCTGCTGCGGGTGCCGGCGCCTGTATTGCCAGCGTATGTGATTTTAGGCTGGGCACAACCACAAGCCGAATCAGTTACGGAGAAGTCCGTTTTGGTATGTCATTAATGTGGCACGCATTACCCACCTGTGTACACCTGGTTGGACCAAGCAGAGCGCGGGAATTGCTCATGACCGGTCAGCTGAAAGATGCACCAACGTTATTGCAATGGGGATTTTTTAACGAATTGGCCGAGGACGAAGACACATTATCCTCCCTTGCACTAACCTGGGCAGAACGCCTTGCGGCATTGCCTCCAGTGCCAGTACAGATGATCAAGCGGTCTATCAACGTTGTTGCAGGCGCCCTTGATGCAGCAGTAATGCACATGGACGCAGATCAATTTCTGCTCTGCAGCAATACTGAAGATGCAGGCATCGCCCAGCGCGCCTTCCTCAACAAAGACAGTGCAACCTATTCCGGGCGCTGAGCGTCAAAGGCAATGGTTTGAGCCAGAACGTTCCAACCGACGCAACAGCGCAGGCCAGGTCACGTGACCGGCAGACCCATCAAACAACGACACGCTTTGTTCTGCGACATGTTCTGGCACACCCTGTTGTGGCTGCCGTGGGCTAGCGCCTGAGCTCATAGCGTTAACCTGCATCGTGCACGCACGCTCGAGGAAATACATCGCCAGCCATGCCGCTGACACATCCACACCGACAGCAAGAGAGCCGTGATTGCGCAACAACATGCAGTGTTTGGTACCAAGGTCCTGAGTCAAACGGTCCCTTTCCGATAGATCAAAGGCGATGCCTTCATACTCATGGTAGGCCAGTTCACCAAGCACCATCATGGCATGTTGAGAGATCGGCAGGAGGCCCTCATCCATTGCAGACACCGCAACACCGTGATCCGTATGTAAATGGATGACACATCCCGCGTCTGGGCGTGCAGCATGCACAGCGCTGTGTACTGTGAACCCAGCCGGGTTGATGTCATAAGCGGATGGCATGACTTTGTTACCGTCCAGATCAACTTTCACCAACGAAGAGGCTGTGACCTCTTCGAAAGCCCAGCCAAACGGGTTGATTAAAAAGTGTTCCTCACCCCCAGGAACTCTCGCTGAGAGGTGAGTGAAAATCAGATCGTCCCATCCTTGAGCGGCGATCAAACGGTACGCAGCAGCCAGATCGACGCGGGTTTGCCACTCCTCAGCTGAAACCAATGCCTGAATTGACGTCATTTACTTGCTCCATAGATCGAAAGTGCGATAATACTATACAATTGTATTGCCAGTTAGGGGAGACTTTACCGACATGACCACCTCATTGCTCGAAGGCATTCGCGTGGTCGAACTTGCGACTGCCCTGCAAGGTCCACTCGCAGCGCAATATTTGTCTGATCATGGCGCGACCGTCATCAAAATTGAACCGCCGACTGGCGACGCCAGTCGTTTCGTCGGCGTTTATCCAAGTCCCGGTCACGCTGAACAGGTAAGAGGCAGCCAGTTCATCTCAGCTAACAGGGGTAAGTTATCGGTGTGCCTTGATCTAAAGACCCCATTCGGTCACAACGCCGCGGCGACACTGGTGGCAACCGCGGACGTGTTTCTGACCAACCTACGCCAGCCTGCGTTGGAACGCCTGGCACTGGACGCCGACACCCTGGAAAAACGCCATCCCGATCTTATCTATGCCAGAGCCACCGGCTTTGGCCCCTTCGGTCCAGATGCGGACAAAGCTATGATTGACGGTGCGGCACAGGCTCGCGGCGGCATTACAGCATTGAGCGGCTCAAGTGTTTCTCCCACACCACCCGGCTGTATGTTGGCGGATACTTCTGGCGCGCTGACTCTGGCGCTTGGCGTGCTCACCGGGCTTACCGGACGTCTTCTGACCGGACACGCGCACAGAGTCGATACATCCGCCCTGGGTACGCAGCTGTATTTGCAGAGCTGGGAGCTTCAACACGCGATGCTGGGAGGCGAAAAAAGTACAGCAGCTGGCGCTCACCATGCACTACTCAATGGGTTGTATGGCGTATATCAAACCAGCGATGAAGGGCAATTGTTCATTGGCGTCTTTCAAGAGTTCGGAGCGTGGCAGAGATTCTGGACATTTGCTGGATTGCCTGAGGTTGGTGAGGACCAGAGGTGGAACGATCTAGCCCAACAATTTACGATAGACGAAGCCACGCTTGAACAACTTCGCGCCTACGCAACTGAGGCGATCGCGGCGAAGGGCACTGAAGAATGGACAGATTTTTTAGCCCGGGAACCTCGCATTATCTGGGAGCAGGTGCGTGATTTTGATGGGGTTTTTGCAGACCCGCAGAACATCGCGAACCGTCACATTGCCAGCCTAAATATTGACGCACACAGCGAAACCACACCGACCGTGGGCAATCCTGTGATGGTTGGTGGCAACCCTTGCGACGAATATGCGCCACCACCCGGCATCGGTGACCATACGATGGATATTCTCAGTGGTGTTGGCATTTCATCAGCTGAAATCAACCGCCATATCAATCATTGTCACTTTCTGCGCAGCAGCCAGAACGTGAATACAGAGGGCGTACAATGATTCGACAAATACTTGATGCCGGCGCCCAATCTCAACATTTCCTCGATCGCGAGAGCAATGGCCTACCACCAACTGGCCCCTTACCAAGAGCATGGAACGCACGAGACCTTGCGAACCGGAAAGACTGGCGATTCTCCATCTCCGAGCCTGTTGCAGATGCGATAGCCACCTCAATGAGGAACGTCCGCGAAACCATTACGTTAGCAGAGGTCGATCTGCCCCTAGAAGATTTCAAGCTGCAGATCCAATCCTGGCGAGAGGCTGTCGATACCGGGCCAGGTATCCTCCTGGTGAGCGGTATCCCAATAGACAAAATGTCTCCCGCTGCGGCAAAACTTTTTACCGCATGGCTGGGCTGGCAATTCGGCAATCTTGGGATACAGAACCCGGCTGGTGATATTGTCGGCGAGATCAAAGATACCGGTGCCGCGGCAAATGATCCTTATGTACGTAACTACACAACCAATCGGGAGTTTCGCATCCACTCAGACGCAGCAGATCGAGTGGGGCTATTGTGTATCCGAAAGGCTCGCGGCGGAGGCGGCAGCAATATCATCGCAAGCTCTGTACGTGTTTTTGAGCACCTGCGAGAAGAAGAAGCCAATCTTGCCGAACTGCTGTTCGAACCCGCTGCCCTTGACCTGCGTAATCAACAACAACCCGGGGAACCGGGCTGGGGTGAACTGGTCCCATGCCGTTGGACCGGCTCTGAGTTGAGCACACTTTATGTATCCGACTATTTCCGCTCAGCTGAACGGCACCCTGGAGTAAAGTTCGACAGCAACCGCAAAAAACTTTATGACCGCTATGAAAGAATTGCGATGAGCGATGAGCTTGCACTCCAGGTGCAGCTCGAACCTGGTGACTTATTGGTACTCAATAATCATGTGACCTTACATGCCAGAACGGCTTTCGATGATAAGAGTGAGAACATAGACAAAGCCGTTCCCGCTCAGATCGACCAGCAAGGACGGCTGTTGTTGCGCTTTCTGGCGTCGGTTTAACACCTTAGCGTTTTCTGACTTCGGTCAGCCGGGCTCATCACTGTCTTTTGGGGCTGGCAGCATTACCCCACGCGCAATCATACTGCTGTAAGCACGATAGCGACGTTTCCATAAATCCGGCTCATACCCGGAGCGGCCAAGAATTTTTTCTATATAGGGGTCCATCAGCAGCGTGCCAGTTTCAAGAAAAATAAACAGGAACGGCAACCACAAACGATCAGTATCCGGGCGCAGCTTGCCTTGCGCGTCGGTTCGATCAATGGAGCTTCGGACAATATCGTAATAGCGTCTGAAAAGTTCAGCACCCCAGGGGGTTTCTTCGAGCAGCGCACGGCGGAAATAGCGACTGAACACTGGCCAATCGTCGGTCATGTTGGCAACCCAGTTATCCAGCTTGGAGAGCACATCTCGGCCGGGGAGATCTTCTACGTGACCTTCTTCTTCGCCATAAAAGGACTCAAACGTACTGATGAAATGCTCATCAACGGCCTTACGCAGACCCTCTTTAGAGCCGTAGTGGTGTTTGATCAACCCTATCGATACATCCGCTTCAGCTGCAATATCGCGCACACTGACGCCATCGTAACCTCGTTCGCCAAAAAGCTTCATGGCGCCATGCAGGAGCCGTTCTTTGGCAGGCAGTTTTTCTACAACTCGTAATTTTCGTTCCGACAAACCAGGCACTCTTAATGTTCAGCAGTGCACACGTAACCATGACTGAAAGCAGTTTGTCCATCTTCCGTTAGAATTTCGAAATGCAGCACGCCTTTCGATTGACCCAGCAGATTCAGGCGCAACGTAGATGGCATCAGTACCATCGCAGTAAATCGTCCGCCTAAGCGCTTTACGTGGGTAGGGTCGCCACCCAACTTTTCATCCACCAGCTTGCTGATTGCCAGTGCGAGCGTGGCTGTACCATGCAGAATGATGTCCGGCAGACCGGCTGCGAGGGCCACTTCGCGATCCGTGTGTATCGGATTGAAAATTCGAGCGCATTCAGTGTAGATATGAGCGGCCCCGACAGGAACCGCAATCGGCCATGATTGCAAAACACTCCGTGACGCTGGCGCTTCAGGTACTTGTGGGGCGTGCTCAATCTGCGTCGGCTCCCCAGTGACCGCTACACCTCTGCTGATACCTAACTGATAGGTACGGCACACCAGATTCCCCTGCTCATCTACTGTATCAAGGCGTGTGGTTTGAGCTGCGCCCGGTTTGATGGCTTGCAAACCGATGATCGTCGCAGTTGTGGTGAGCCTCTCTCCCGCACGTATGGGTCGGTAGAGATGAAGATCATGGGCGGCGTGCACGCCGCGCGCGCTTTCCTGCGGCGTCGTCTGCTCGTAACCGGGCATGCGACGGGACTTCAATAACACCGGCCATTCCAGACATACCGGAAAGACCGGGTGCGCTATAACAGTTCCAGCAGCCGTATCCATGAAGCGTGGATTGTTATCCTGCAAACCGGCGGCATAAGCCATCAGCCATCGGGCATCAACCTGATGTTCGATGGCTTGTGAACTTTTGCCTACCATTACAGCGTCGAGCGGCATGTCTAGATCTCCACCTCTAACTGCAGACCAAAGGTGCGAGGCGTCAAAAACTGTACGCCGGTTCCGGTTCGCACGAGAGGCTCTTCCTCTTCTGCCAGATTTTCACCAAACAGCGTCAGCGTCCACGTATCACCCCGCACACCCACTCGCATATCTGCAGCGTTCATAATACCGGACTCTAGACCCGAGCCCGCATCAATCTGACTATCACGATAAGCGTAAGCCGCATTAACGAAGGCCTGCCAACCATTAGAGATAGCCCATTCATAGCTCGCTCCCAGGGTCAGGTTTTTCTCTGGCACATTGGGGAGTGAACCACCCTCTCGGACAGTGGCGGTTGCAGCTGCCAAATTGGCATTCACATTTTTAAACTCGGAATCGTTAATGTTGCCTGACATCTGCAGGATCAGATTGTTAATCGGCATCCAGCTGACCGCCAAGTCCAAACCGTTGAGCTTTGCATCTCCTCCGTTAGCCAGAGCAACCGTTCCAGGCACAGAGAACTGGAGTTGAATTTCTTTCCAGTCGGAATAGTAGTACGCCGCTTCAACCGCAAGTTTGCCACCCAGGAACTGATAGCGCGCGCCAACCTCATAGGTCCAGACCTCATCTGGCGCGATGGTAGTACCCGTGGGCACACCAACGCTCGCAGCTAGCGCTACCTGGGCATCTGTCTGAGTTGTGCCGCTGCGAAACCCTTTTGCTGCGCTGACAAAAATAGAACCGTTATCATGCGGACGAAAGTTCACGGCAAATCTTGGGTTTACCGTTTCATATGTTGTACCCACCGGTGGCCGCGGTAAACCCGTGGCACGATCAATACCGTTTGCAGTTGTCCTATCATCTTCAAAATATCGCAAGCCAACTGAAGGCACGACAAGACCATCTAACAATTCCACAGACACTTCACCAAAAACGGCCCAGGCTTCACTTTCAATATCACCGATAGTATCAATCACGGGAATTGTGATACCGCCACCAAAGTCGAGAAAAAAGTCTATGTCAGAATTGATGCTGGAATCGCTGTAGTAAGCACCAACCTGCCACTGCACAGCACTATCATCGGTGGATACTAATCTGAATTCCTGACTCAACGCTTCGGTTTGAAAGGTGGAATCATTGAAAAACTGAAAGCCCGCTGTAAACAGCGGAAACACAAAATCAAGTTCGTACTCGGTGTACGAGGTGGCACTGATGAAACTCATGCCGTCTAGATCGACATCAATGGTCAGTGAGCTCGTGTCCAGCGAGGTATCTATGAACCCAGGGTTACCACCAATGCCTGCCATAGTGGGTTCGTCGAACTCGATGCCCGTCAGCGGGTCCAGGCGAGAAAAAGAGTTTGCACCAACAAGTTCATTCTCCACCGTCCAGTGAGTAAAGGTCACATCCATCAAGTCCGTTGTATACAAGGCTTTCAGACGCAGGTTCCAGCTATCTAACTCGTTAATATCGTCTTTCGAAAATTCAGGGCTGTCGACCCAGCCAGGTCGTTCTTCAACACCACCAGAAAGACGCACGGCAAAATTGTCTGAGAGAGGCAGGTTCACAACACCATCCAGGTTGTAGCCTGAATCACCGTCATCAACAGTTCTCCCACCAACGCGGAACCTACCTGAAAATTCTTCTGTGTCCGGTTTTGGCGTAATGACTTTGATTGTGCCACCCATGGAACCCTGGCCATATAAAGTACCCTGTGGACCGCGCAACACTTCGATGCGCTCCAGGTCATACATGTTGGTTGGTGGCGCGATCTGCAGATTCAAAACGCCAAAAGCGACGTCGTCGACATAGTAGCCGACAGTTGCATCACCAGTCGTCCCACTGGCAATACCTCGCAAAATCACTGTCTCAAAGCCTGGTGCAGTGCTCGATACAACCGAGGCACCAGGCACAAACTTTACGACATCCGCCAGACTATCGATTCCGTTATCGCGCAATTCCTGACCATCGAGTACCTGTACGGACATTGGTACGTCTGTTATGGCCTGTTCCCGCTTCTGCGCGGTGACGATGATCTCTTCTATGACCGCATCTTCCGCCGCCTGCAAAGAAGGCGTCCATACTGCAGCAGTTACTAAACATACGTATACCAACCTGGCGCAAATTTGAAAACGAACACGTGCAGCACTCGCTGATTTCGAAAACATATCTCTCTCCTGTTTCTCAACACGCCAAACTATACACCTGTATAGTTTACATGCAATACTTCAAAACATGGCTCGGATAAAAGACTTGGCAACACATATATAGACCCCTTCTAAGAGATAAAGACAATTGACTGATCATTCGTATAGCCACGCAGATTTTGAGGCTCCCACACCGGTGACGCCTCAAGCCCGTTACGCGCTGTTTGTTTTGGCGCTCGTTTATGCATTCAATTACATCGATCGCCAGCTAATTGTCATTCTTCAGGAGTCCATCAAAGCCGACTTGGGCTTTGCAGACTGGCAGCTAGGATTGTTGTCCGGTTTTGCCTTCGCCATTTTCTACACTCTTGTCGGCGTACCGATCGCACGTTATGCAGACCGCGGTAACCGCCGCAATATCATCTCCATCGCTGTAGCTACGTGGTCAGTGATGACCGCCGCCTGCGGCATGGTTGGGAATTTCTGGCAGATGTTCCTGGTACGCATCGGCGTGGGGGTGGGCGAAGCGGGATGCAGCCCACCCGCTCACTCGATGATCTCAGATTTCTTCCCCCAGGAACGCCGCGCCACCGCGATGTCGGTGTACAACCTCGGCGTTTATCTAGGCGTTTTGGTAGGTTATATCGCTGGCGGATGGCTGAACGAAATTGTTGGATGGCGCTGGGCATTTATCCTGATTGGCCTGCCAGGCGTATTGCTTGCACTTCTGGTGCGGTTCAGTGTTGTTGAACCTGCCAGGGTGCAACTCACCGCAGCAGCCCCACCACAACCTTCAATGCGCGACACGCTGTTGTTACTCTGGTCACGCAAGTCATTTCGCCATCTCGCACTGGCGGCGGGCCTGCATGCGTTTGTCGGGTACGGCGCAGGCAATTGGGCACCGTCTTTTTTCATACGCTCGCATGGCGTGGGCACCGCAGAACTGTCGTTGTGGTTAGCGCCGGTTGCTGCATTTTCAGGCGCTATTGGCGCTCTTGCCGGCGGCTATTTCTGCGATCGGCTTGCACAGCGTGACGCGCGCTGGAATATCTGGCTACCGACTCTGGCCATCATCATATCAGTACCGTTTTCGATTACGGTTTATCTACTCGCGGATTTCCGGCAGGCGATTATCTTGTCCGTTGTGCCTACATTGCTCGGTGCTATGTATCTGGGACCGATGTTGGCAGTGACCCACGCTTTGGTGGGTAGCAGGATGCGCGCAGTCGCTTCGAGCGTTCTATTGTTGGCGTTGAATCTAATTGGGATGGGTATCGGGCCATGGTTCACAGGCCTGTTGAGTGACCTCCTGGCACCCACATACGGCGGTGAAAGCCTTCGCTATGCGCTGATTATTGTCATTCTGGTGAATATCTGGTGTGCGGTCCATTACCTGTTCTCGGCACGTACCCTCCAAGCAGATCTCGCCCGCGCACCCGCTTAACAACGCAAAACGATAAAGAGGGAAACATTTATGATTGCCAACATCATTAACGATATTCTTGACCATCATGCCAGCCATACTCCTGACGCAGAATGTGTGGTGGAGTCCAAGCAGCGCCTGACCTTTGCTGAAGTACGCAGTCAGGTGGATCAGATTGCAAAGGCCTTGCTGGCCAAAGGCATCCAACCCGGCGATCGGGTAGCCACTTTGTCGCCACCCGGTTTGAACTTCTGGCTCACTTATCTTGCTGCGACCTCTATCGGCGCAATCTGGCACGGTATCAATCCTGTTTATCGCTCCCGAGAGTTTGCCTACCTTTTATCTGACGCGACCCCATCATTAATATTCTGCCAATCGCCTTTTGACAACCGCTACTACGATACGGAACTACAAGCAACCGAAAACTGTGTTGAGTGTTTTGTTACTCACGGCGAGCCACAAGGTGATGCCATTAGCTTCGCTACCTTCCTCAAAGAAGGCGAACATATCAACCAGCAGACTTTAGATCTTGCTCGAGCGGCGGTGAAACCCGAAGACATCGCGGTGATTGTCTACACCTCTGGCACAACCGGGCAACCCAAGGGTGCGATGTTATCCCAGGGCACCATCACAGCATCAGCCATCACCAATGCTCATTGGATGGGAGAACGGCTTGACAGCACCGTATGTGCCGCACCCACCAATCACGTTGGGGCGTTAAACAACGTGTGTATGAACGTCTTTGCCGCTGGGGGGCGAATCATTTTCTATCACCGTGTGGACATTCAGGCGCTGGGAGAAATCCGCAGAAACGAGTTGCCAACATACATGGTAACTTCGCCCACCGGATTCATGATGACGATGCAATCACCCGAGTTTGACGCCTCAAGATTGAACCACACCGAACTCATTGTCTGCGGCGGCGCCACCACACCGCTGAGCATTTTGGACGCCTGGCGGGGGGTCGATTGTCCCATTTCATCTGTGTACGGACAGACGGAGACTTGCGGCATCATTACCCATACTTCGCTTGACGCGCCCTTACTGGATGTCGCAGAGACTATTGGCAAACCTCTAGAGGGTTGCGAAGTACGCATCGCCAACGACAAAGGCACACCCTGTGACCCAGGTGAAACAGGAGAACTGCAATTCCGCGGACCCTATGTCATGTCCGGTTACTACAATCGGCCTGAGGCAACTGCGGAAGCCTTCACCTCAGACGGTTACCTGCGCACTGGCGATTTAGGCTACGCCCGTGAAGACGGCAATCTCGTTTTTGTCGGTCGCATCAAAGAGATGTTCAAGTCCGGCGGCTACAACGTTTACCCGCTGGAGATAGAGCAAGCCATCACCGAGCATCCTGCTGTATTGCTCTGCGCTGTACTACCTATTCCCCATCCCCTGTTCCAGGAAGTTGGTCATGCTTTTGTGATGACCCACGAAGGCCAAAGCGTTACACCTGCAGAGTTGCGCGATTATCTGGCAGACAAAATTGCCAACTACAAAGTACCGAAAAGCTTTTCTATCGAAGCCGCTTTGCCATTGTTACCCAATGGCAAGGTCGACAAACAGCAATTAGCAAGCCGACTGACTGATCAGCCTCAGAGCGTTGCTTGAGCAAACGGAGCAAAAAATGATGAACACCATTACGGTACGCAAGATGGACTTTGAGTTTTCTGACGATATGGATCTGGTTTTTATACGGCACGACCCAAAACTATCGTTTTTATTCTTAGGCACGTGGATGTTGCTGCCTTATCTAGAACCCTACCTGATGCGAACCATACGCAAAGCCATGGAACAGGTGGACGACACAGCTTTGTTACATGATATGCAGCAATTCTGCGCCCAGGAAGGTCAGCACTATCAACAACATGCAAAAGCCAACGAAAAAGTACGTGATCTGATGCCAGCACGCCTGCAACTGAAACTGGATGAGAAGCTCGCGGAGATCAGAGACGAATACAAATCGTTTAGTGAGCAAAAAGACCTAGCCTGGAACCTGGCCTACGCGGAGGGTTTTGAAGCCTACACTGCAGCTGGTGCTCGTGCACAGATGTCTGAGCGGGTATTTGATTATATGAAAGACCCGATCAGGGATCTGATGCTATGGCATATCATGGAAGAAATGGAACACCGCACAGTGGCATTCGACGTTTTTGAAGCCCTCTGCGGCAAGTACTGGTATCGCTTACGTGTTGGTTTGTGGGCACAAAAACACTTCACCAGTCTGGGTGCAGAACTTACCCAACTGATGATCGAAGCGTTCCCAGATTTGATTGCACAACACCAAAACAGCAAAGCGAGGCATATTCGCGAACAAAACTTCAAGCGCTATCGCAAAGCAACTCTGAAAAATTTACCAGGCATTTATTCGCCCTGGTATTCACCGCACAAACTACCTATGCCTGCGATGTATGAAGAGACACGACAGGCCTATACCAAACGGGCCATATCCACCAGCTAACCCAGGAAGACACTATGCAGACTGATACATCGCAAACTAAATCTAGCGCTTTACCGATTGTGCCGCTCACCGGCGCCGCAGAAGCACTACACATCGGTAACGACGACACACCCTTTGTCGACATTGGCGATGGCACACTAATCCAGTTGCTGCTCGCTGACCTGACCCAGAACATCTGGGCAACACGCAATCGCATGCAGCCAGGCACAAGCGTGATTACCCACTACCACACCGGACCCGTTTACGCTTTTACTCTGCAGGGACAGTGGTACTACAAAGAATATCCCGAGACAGTTAACGGTCCAGGCTCATTTCTAATGGAGCCATCCGGCTCAGTGCACACCTTGACCATTCCCGAAGATCAAACAGAAGAAACCATTGTCTGGTTCCTGATGCACGGCACGAATATCAACATTGATGCTGAGGGAAATGTTGTCTCTATTGCTGATGCGCACAACGTGTTAAAAGGCTATCGCCTGCTCTGCGAGCAACAGAAAGTGAGTCATCACAACGTTATTGTCATGGGCGAAATCTAGCTATGCGCGCGGTTGTTATGCGTCCCGGGCGCTTAGACGTAGAAGAACGTCCAATGCCCGAGCCCGGCCCGGGAGAGGTGCTGATCCAAACGCTTGCCTGTGGTATCTGCGGTTCGGATCTTCACCTTTTTCGCCATGCTCAGGACTATCTGAATCAAGCGCTGCAGGCTGGTGCGGACAAAACAGCTTTGGATCGCGGGATCGTTCTGGGACACGAATTTGTCGGAAAAATTGTCGCCTTTGGTGAGGGTCCTCGAGGTGATCTGCGCATCGGCCAGCGGGTGTGTTCAACTCCTTTTCTGCCCAACAGACTGGCAGATATTCCTATGGGCGCTACTCCTTGGCTTGACGGAGCATACGCCGAATATTTTTTGTTAGACGAATCCCTGCTGATCCCGATTCCTGATCACATCGACACCCAAACTGCGGCTCTGGTTGAGCCTCTGGCTATTGGCCTTCACGCCGTCAACCGAGCAGACCTGGTAGTCGACCCGGACTGCATTGTTATTGGTTGTGGTCCGATTGGACTTGCCGTCATCACATCACTTGCAGCTAGAGGCATCACAAACATCATCGCTGCTGATTTTTCTGCTCGTCGACGCGATCTGGCTTCAACCTTAGGCGCTTCCGCCACCACGGATCCAAACAAAATGTCTGTATTTGATGCCTTGCCAGGGGACCTCAGGAGACCTGTAACGGTGTTCGAGTGTTCCGGTGCAAATAGTATGATTCGATTCTGTACGGACAGTGCGCCACCAAAATCAGAAATCATCATGGCCGGTATCAGTCATGGTGAAGAGACGTTTGTACCCGCAACCGCAATCAGCAAAGAACTCTCCCTACATTTTGTCAGTTTTTATACCACCGAGGAGTTCCAAAACGCACTTGATCTACTGGGCAGCGGGAAAGTGGATTCGAACAAATGGATCACCGGCAAAGTTGGCCTCGATGAAGTGGCGGAAGCGTTTACTGCACTGACAACGATGGAACACCACACCAAAATTCTGGTGGTCCCTTAGCCCAACCCCAGGTTGCGCCCTAAGATCCAAGCTAAGTGACATAACTTGCCGCTGTGCACGTCAGGCGGTAAATTGCTTCTCGCTAAAGCAGGTGGAAACACTTGTTCCATCATTTAAGGGGGAATCATGGATCTGTCTTTTGGACCCGAATACGAGGTCTTCCGCAACGAGGTGCGCGAGTTTCTGCGTACCCATGAAGACCAGGCACCACACAATGCCGGCATGCGCAGCCCGGAAATGCTGGCCTGGCAGAAGCTGTTGATTGAACACGGCTACGCCGCACGCACAATACCCAAAGAATATGGCGGTTTCGGCGGCACACCGAACATCATCCAGAGCCGCATCATCGGCGAAGAGTTTTCTGAAGCACGGGCAAATGCCGGCCTCGGCGGACAGGGCATCTCCATGCTGGTACCCACGCTGCTGGAGATGGGCACCCAGGAACAGAAAGAACAATTTATCAAACCCACCATTCACGGCGAAATGGTCTGGTGTCAGGGGTATTCCGAACCTGGCGCAGGCTCAGACCTTGCGTCCCTGACCACCAGCGCCACCCTTGATGGTGACGAATGGGTCGTTAACGGTCAGAAAATCTGGACCAGCACGGCACAGCTGGCAGATTGGATTTTCTGCCTGGTCAGAACCGAACCCGACGCCCCCAAACACAAAGGCATTTCATTCCTGCTGTTCAAAATGGATACCCCGGGCATAGAAATTCGACCATTGGTTGATATGACCGGTGCAGCAAACTTCAACGAGGTATTTTTCACAGACGTGCGTGTGCCCAAACACCAGATTGTAGGTGAACGCGGCGAAGGCTGGATGGTCGCCAATGCCATTCTCGGCCACGAAAGAGACTCACTGGGTAACCCAAACGTTACTCTGACGCGGTTAAACGCGCTGATTGAACTGATGAAAACGGAAACCCTCAATGGCGAGCGCTTGATCGACAACCCGGTTTATCGTGACCGATTGATGCAGTTACAGGGCCGCGTCATGGCCATGCGGTTTAACGACTTGAGAGTATTGTCCTCCCGGCTTAACAAGGGGCAGGACGCAAGCCTTGCACGCATGATTGTGAAACTGCAGGGCACCGAACTGCGGCACGATCTGGAAGGCATGGCCATCGACATCATGGGTGAAATCGGCCTGTCTTATGAAGACAACCCTTATACCCGTGCCGGAGGCAGCTGGCAGAACCAGTACATGTACTTTCTCGGCCTGATCATTGGCGGCGGTACCTCGCAGATACAGAAAAACATCATCAGTGAGCGAGGTCTCGATATGCCTCGCGAACCGAAAATCGAAAAGACCAAGTAGGAGGCACCCATGCAATTCGGACTTTCAGAAGAACAGGTGCTGCTACAGGACAACGTCAATCGGTTCCTCGACGACCACGCATCGCTGGATGCCGTCAGAGCCTACGCCGACGGTGGTGAAGACACCGCAATCTGGCAGGGGCTGACAGAACTGGGCATTCCAGCATTATTGATCGACGAGGATCACGGCGGTATCGGTCTGGCACCGTTGAACGCAGCCATTGTTGCGGAATCCATGGGTTACCACACCGCACCAGGGCCGTTTCTGACCAGCGGCGTTATGGCGCCCACCGTATTTGCTGCTGCAGGCGGGCAAGATGACAAACTAGCCGCGCTTGCGGCAGGTGAATTGCGCATTGGTATTGCCTTTGCTGAAGGTTTCGGTGCGCGTAACGATGCGGGCATCAAGGTCGCAGGCACAAACCTCAGCGGCAAATCGATATTCGCCTTCGATCAAGCTGCAGACAGCTATCTGGTCGCGGATCAGCACAAACACATCTACCTGGTTGAAGCAGACGCTCAGGGGCTGATCCGCAAGGCGCTGACCACTGTAGATAAGACCCGGCGTACCGTTGAACTGACCTACAACAATACACCAGCGACGCTCGTCAGTGATGACGCAGAAGTGTTTGCTCAAGCGATGGACATCGGTCGCGTCATGCTCGCCGCTGACACCCTCGGCGCGGCACAGAATATGATCGACCAGGCCGTGGAGTACGCCAAGCAACGCGAACAGTTCAACCGCCCCATTGGCAGCTTCCAGGCGGTCAAACACATGTGTGCGGAAATGGCCGCAAGCCTGGAACCCTGCCGCGCCATGGTCTGGTTTGCAGCCCACGCGTTGCACGAACTGCCGGACGAAGCGCGCCTGACAGCCTGCCATACCAAAGCACACCTGGCTGAAGTCGGAAAGTTTGTCGCCAAAACCTCAACCGAGGTTCACGGCGGCATGGGCTTCACCGACCTGTTGGGCCTGCACTACTGGTTCAAACGCTGTGGCGCCAACCGTCAGTGGCTGGGCGCCCCTGAACTTGTCCGCGAGGAGGCCGCGCTATTGCAGGGTCTGGCATGAACGACTTTCTGACCCTGGCAGAACGCGCCTGGCAGGGTCAGCTCGACATGATGTTTGAACATCATCCGGTGCATGCAGCTTACGATGGCGCGACAGAAATTGTACCTGGTGTGCTGGCCCTTAAAGGCATCGCCTGCATCTACATCATTGATACCGGTGACGGGTTGCTGATGCTGGACGCAGGTTCCCAGCTGGACACGCAGCGTACCTTTTCGGAAGTGCGCAAATGGCGCCCTGACACACCCCTCAACCTGGTTGTTTTTTCCCACCATCACGTTGATCACATCTTTGCCGTTGAGCCTTTTATTGAAGAAGCAAAGACGCGAAACTGGGCCGCGCCCAAGGTTATCGCACATCGCTTAACTCCGGATCACTTCGATCGTTACGTTAAAACCAACGGCTGGAACACTGCCATCAATCGACGCCAGTTTGCGATCCACGCACCCAATTTTCATTGGCCTGACAAATACCACTACCCAGACATCACCTACGACGATACTTATCAATGCCGCCTGGGTGACCTGGATGTGCGTTTACATCACGCCAGAGGCGAGACAGACGACCACACCTGGACCTACATCCCTCAGCACAAGCTGGTGATGACCGGCGACTTATTCATCTGGGCGCTGCCCAATGCAGGTAATCCCCAGAAGGTGCAGCGATACGTTTCAGACTGGGCGGCTGCCCTGAGGCTAATGGCCAGTCTGGAACCAGAACTGCTGCTGCCCGGCCACGGTTTTCCGATATTTGGACAGGCACGCGTGCAGCTGGCGTTAACGGATACCGCAAACCTGCTGGACAGCATCGAAGACCAGGTGCTCAGCGGCATGAACCAGGGGCTCACCCTGGATGCCCTCTACCAGCAGGTTGAACTGCCTGCCGAGCTGATGAAGAAACCCTATCTACAGCCCATTTACGATGACGCACACTTTCTGATCCGCATGATCTGGCGACGCTATGGCGGCTGGTGGGACGGCGAGTACGACACGCTTCTGCCGGCCAGCAAGGCAGAGCAGGCAACCGCCTGGGTAGACCTTGCCGGCGGCATTGACGTCGTAATTGCGCGCGCGCTGAGCAGCCTTGAGCAGAATCCCGCCATCGCAGCACATTTGATTGAAACCGCTTTTCACGCCCAACCGGAAAACGCCGCGGTACATGAAGCACGGGCCTCTATATATCGCGCCCGAAGTGCAGCGCAAACAGCCTCCATGGCGCGAAACATCTTCAACCACGCCGCCCTGTCCAGCGATGCTGGTGTGCGGGACCTGGCTTCAACCACCCATCTGCAAAAGAGTTAAAACCGCTAGCGCCTTGTGACCAGGCGCATTGCCGTTCACAATCTGGGACTGACATTCTGCAGTAGGATCTATGTTCCAGTCTTTGCCCGTTTTGCCGTTGAAAGACACGGTGGTTTATCCCAACATTGTTGTTCCTCTTGCGGTTGGCCGCCCCCGTTCCCTGGCGGCCATTGAAGCCGCGATGAAAGACAATCGCGAGTTCATTGCGGTCGCTCAACGCAGCCCGGATGTTGAGGACCCGAAACTCGAGGATTTATATCAGATTGGCACCATTGCCAAAATTACCCGAGTTGAAAATCGTAACGACGGCGCACAGGTTATTGTTCAGGGCGATCGTCGGGTTCGATTGATATCTCAGTTTGACCGAGAGGACTACCTGATGGCTTCGGCCGAGTACCAGGTTGACCTCAAGCACACGGCAAATGATGCAGACAGCATGGAAATAGATGCCCTGTTACGCGTCAATCGCGAGCTTGCTCAGCGCATTGCAAACCTGTACGACAGCGAAAACGGCGCACAGATGTATCAGCAGCTGGTGGGCCACCTGAAAGACCCTGTCATTCAGATGTATCGCATTGCATCGCTTGCCAATCTTTCGCTGGAACATGAACAAGCCATTCTGGACTGTGAGTCAACGCTTGCGCTGATGCAACAGGTTAACGGTGTGCTCAGCCACGAGCTGCGGGTTACCGAACTGCGCCGCGAAATCGCTGAACAGGCCCGTGACGACATTGAACAACAGCAACGCGAACACGTCCTGCGGCAGCAGAAACAAGCCATTGAACATGCGCTGGGCGAAAATGGTGAAGACGAGGACATTGGCGAGATTCGCCAGCAGCTGAAAGACGCAAAACTACCGGAAAACATAGAAGGCGAAGTTAACCGCGAGCTGAAACGATTGTCACGCATGTCGCCTAATGCTGCCGATTATCAGGTCTCGCGCGCCTACCTTGAACTGATCGCCGAACTACCCTGGCATGCCAGTACCGAGGATAACCTTGACCTGCAACATGCCCAGGACGTTCTCAACGAAGATCACTACGGGCTGGAAGAAGTTAAAGAGCGGATCCTTGAAACGCTTGCAGTTATGCAGCTTAATCCTGAAGCCAAGGCGCCTATCATCTGCTTTGTGGGCCCCCCTGGCGTCGGCAAAACCTCCCTGGGTCAATCCATCGCCAGAACCATGGGACGCAAATTTGAGCGCTTGAGCCTGGGCGGGTTGCACGATGAAGCGGAACTGCGTGGTCACCGACGCACTTATATCGGTGCGATGCCAGGCCGTATCCTGCAGGGTATTAGACGAGCGGAAGTGGTGAACCCCATCATCATGCTCGATGAATTAGACAAACTCGGTCGGGACTTCCGTGGCGACCCATCTGCGGCGCTGATGGAAATTCTCGATCCTGCACAAAACCGGGAGTTTCGTGATAACTATCTGAATCTGCCGTATGATCTTTCCAAAGTAATGTTCATCACCACCGCAAACACACTTGAAGGCATTCCTCGACCATTGCTGGATCGCATGGAGATCATGGAAGTTTCGGGTTATTCGGATATCGAGAAAAGCGCCATCGCGCGGAGTTACCTGATTCCACGACAGCGCTCTGAAGCCGGGCTACAGGAAAACCAACTCGACATAGATGATCTCACCCTGAGCCAGCTTATTCGCCGCTACACACGGGAAGCCGGGGTGCGCGAACTCGAGCGGGTAATAGGACGTATCTGTCGCAAACAGGCACGGCGCGTGGTGGAAGGTGATGATGCCACCCACGCCATCACACCGGAGCGGCTCAAAGAATTCCTGGGGCCGGAGAAATACAAACGCGACGCCAACCGCGAACAGCAACATGCAGGTGTTGCAGCAGGCCTTGCCTGGACGGAAGCCGGCGGAGACGTGTTGTATATCGAAGCCAGCCTTACGCCAAAGGAGGATAAAGTCACCCTCACCGGGCATCTTGGCCAGGTGATGCAGGAATCTGCTAAAGCCGCCCGCAGTTATGTCTGGTCTATAGCAGATACCCTTGGTCTGGCTCAGGAAGATATCGAAAAACAGGGTATTCATATCCATGTGCCAGCGGGCGCAGTACCTAAAGATGGTCCCTCTGCCGGGGTGACCATGGCGAGCGCAATTGTATCCGCTTATGCTGGTATACCCTGTGAGCCCAACATAGCAATGACAGGCGAGCTCACGTTAACCGGTTTAGTGTTACCAGTTGGCGGGATCAAAGAAAAAGTACTGGCCGCCCATCGTGCGGGCTTTACCCACATCATTTTGCCCAGAGACAACGAAGCCGATCTTGAGAAAATACCTGAAAATGTGCGCAACGAGCTGGGAATCACTCTGGCCAGCACATTAGACGATGTATTACGGCGGGCATTGCCCGGGCTGAAATTCAAGGCCGCATCCTGACGTGGAAAACGTCACCACGTACCTGATCGGCGTCGCCCTGGAAGGTATTCTGTTAGGCGTTCTGTTCTGGGTGATTACTCTGATCACGGTAGAAAGTACCAGCCTGGTTGGCGCGGTTCGCGCTGGCCTGATTGCCGAAGCAGTAGGCAATATCCCCTACCTGTGGGGTCTACCCGCAACAACCCCACCCGGCATGTTAATGAGCCTGATTGCAGCGGTGATTTTCGTGAAGCTGATTGTAAGAATCGGGGAGTTAACCGCCGGCAAAGCTTTTTATGGGGTCGCCATGACTTATTTTGTGCTGGTTGCTCTGGTCACCTGTAACGCTTAGAACAGGAACGCCTAAAATAGAAATGTTACAGGCTCACCTTCCTGCCAGGGCGTGTGTTTGGTCATCACAGAAACAAATAGTTGGCTATTAACCATACGTTCAAGCCAGCCCTGCAAGTGTGTATAGCGGCTGGTCTCAAACCATTTAATATCGACATTGGCAAACTGCCGGATAAACGGCATGAGGGCAGTATCGACAAACGTCAGCTGATCGCCCAACAGGTGGCGCCTACCGCCATCCTGCATTAACAGGGCCTCCAGCTCAGCGAAAAACACTTCTGCTTCTTGACGATGTAACAGCGCCTCCGCTTCAGCATCACGCCCTGCGTATTTATAGCCATCCAGATGTTCTTTGAACGGGCCATCGTTTGTGGCCAGCAGATCGTTCACGCCAGGCTGCAGTTCACCGTTTTCCAACCAGTGATCCGGATCGTTCTGGCGCAAAGCCCAGAACATAACATCAAGGCTTTCATCGACGACCGAATTATCTACCAGCATCACAGGGACGGTGCCTTTGGCTGACGCCTGCAGCATGGGCTCGGGTTTGTTTTTCAGATCAACTTCACGCAGGACACAATTCTGACCCGCATATCGCAGCGCCATGCGTGCCCGCATGGCGTAGGGACAACGGCGAAAGCTATAAAGTACAGGCAGGTTGTTGGCAACCTCAGGGGGTGATGGTGAATCGTAATCCGACATAGTCTTTGTCATATTCCGGCGTGACAGTAACGCCTTTATAGTTTGTTGTGAACAACCTGGCCATGCCGTAGCCAATCAGCGCTCCTGCCAGCACATCCTGCTCGTCATGACGATCATCGTAAACCCGGCTGTAACCTACAAAGGTGGCAGCAACGTACACCGGCAACGCCCACTTCAAGCCATAACGTTCGTGCAGATAACCGGCGGCATGAAAACTGACAGCCGTATGCGCTGATGGAAATGATTCGTCATCCCGACCGTCTGGACGTTCCTTACTGATGGTCTCTTTTAAGGCATAGTTTGTACCGAGCGTCACCGCAAGACCAATACCAAATTGTTTAGCCCCTTCATAGTCTCGTTTCGCAATCGAGGTGACCAGAGCCGCGCTTGGCAGCACAAACTCGAGCACATCACCCACATCCCCGGTAGTACTGCGACCCAGCGGATTCTGCTCTGCGCCCGCCTGACTCGGCAACGCCAACAGCCCCAAAAATAAAACCAGCAAAAGACCCTGGCATTGCATTACGGATTTAATTGGCCTGTACTCCTAAATCATCAAGCAAGGCCTCAAATGTATCTATCCGAGGCGTCAGGCTGTCGACAGTGTCCTGCCAGAATTCAGGCTGTTCAAGATCAGCATCCAGATGTTGACGGGCAAGATCTTCCGCTGTCATACGGCCGGTATCACACAGCAGCGCAACATACCGACCGAAGAAACCTGGGCCAGACGTACGTCGGCGCGTGTAAACACCCGAGCTGAACAGGTACCCGAAGAGATAAGGGAAATTATAAAAACTCAGGCCGGAAATATAAAAATGCAGCTTGCTCGCCCAGAACATTTCGTCCGGCTCAGACAAACAATCGCCATACCAGTTCTGCCACGCCTCACGCATCAAAGCTTTCAGTTCCTCGGGTTGCTGCGGCCGCTCCCGCCTGGCTTCGTACAAACGCAGCTCAAACTCGAAGCGGGTTGGAATATTCAGCATGAAACCCGTGTGGGAGCGCAACTCTTCCCAGATGATGTTGAGCTTTTCCTGTGGTGACGACGAACGCGCAAGCAATGCATCCCGCACCAACGCCTCACCAAAAGTACTGGCTGTCTCCGCCAACGACATACCATAGCTGCGCTGACTGTCAGGCAGATCGCGCATAACGTAAGAATGGAACGCGTGCCCTAACTCATGCGCCAGAATTATCACATCCATCTGTCCGCCGGTGTAAGTTGAGTATACCCGTTGCTCTCGAGACTTGGAAAACGTGGTCGCGTAAGCACCCGGGCGTTTTCGCGGACCTAGCGAGCCTTCAATCCAGTTGTTGCTAACCATCATGCGCACAAAGTCCGCCATCTGGCCGTCCACTTCACCGTACGCATTGGCGATGATGTCAATCGCCTCGTCGAAGGCCAGCGGCGCATTCGAACTTGTATCCAGAACCGGCGCGGGAGCGACCACATCCCAGGGCGAAAATTTGTCTTTGCCATAGGCGCGCGCCATTAACGCTGTCGCGCGCTGCGACTCTGCTTTGTTCTTTTCGCTGACCGCCAACAATGTATCTAAGGTTTTCCTGTTAAGACGGCTGGCATGGGTCGGCGCATCAAGAAAATGTACAGGCCGCTCGCGGCTGCGTTGTTTACACATTTCCAGACGCCACCCGGCAATTGAATTCAGGGCGGCTGCGCAGCTTTGTTCCTGGGACTGCCAGGCATCACTCAACCCACGCCAGGCGGCTTCCCGCTGGGGTTCCGATGCATCCATGAGCAACTTATTGGCCTCTGCCACCCCCATGGTCTGCTCTTCGTTACCGACCATGACGTGACAGCTCAAACTGCTGGACAACTGGTTATACAACTGGCCCCAGGCATGTATACCATCCTGGGATAGCCCGTTCACCAGGCTCTCTTCGGCAAGCGTCAAATTTTCATGCCTGCGTTTACGACCATGATGCACCTGGAATGCCAGCGCCTGCACCTCGGGATGATCAAGATACTGCGCAATCTCTTCATCGCTCGCACCATCGACAAACTGCGCCAGCGGTTCAAAATAATCACCAAACCGCTTGTTATAACTCTGCAGAGATCCATTGAGCTTAAGCGCAGCTTCGTTCTGACTGTCTACAGACAGCAGACAATTGGCATAGGTATACACATTGCCAAGCAGATTGCCCGCGCGCTCAGCGTGAATCGCTATCTTCTGTGCTGTGCTGATTGCATCTGCGCCGGACAGCGCAGCATTCAACGTGTTAACTACCGCAAAAATAGCGTCCAGGTCATCGAGATCCGCCTGTAGCTGCGGGTCTTCAAGATCTGTGTATTCCGATGTCAGATCCCAAGACGGGCCACTGATCTCCATATTCGCTGTCATACCATCTTCGCAGATTCGAAAGGGACGGGATTAGACCCTATCCGGCTTGAAGGTCCAATAGCTATTGGCAAAATAGTTGGCCATCGCACCTGGGATGATGCTTACCGCCTGAGCGAGGATCTCTGGCTGGGACGGCCAGATCATACGCATCACAACAAAGGCACTGAAACTTACACCCAGAGTGAGCAGCGAAACCAGGTTGAACTTCAATCCGCGAACCCGTTTGCGGGTGGTGATCTGACGGTCGCGGAACGTCCAGTAGTTGTTTAAAAAGAAGTTCCACACGATAGACGTCTCAATGGCAATTACGGAACTCAGATAGACGTTCAAACCCGACGACAACAGCAGTTGAAAACAACCCAGGTTAATCACTACACCACTCAGGCCCGTCAGTACGAATTTTACAAAGGTCTTGCGCGACAGAAGCCGCAGCCACCAGACATGCAGAAAAAACTCGACGATATCGCTGCGCCCCAGTTTGGTTGCGCCGCGGGTACGGTCGCTGAAACGAATGGGTACCTCAGTAATCCGCGCGCCGCTAATCATCAGAGCGTGCAACAGCGCTACCTGAAAAACATAACCTGAAGGTGGCAGCCGCAGCGGCAGCGCCTGCCGCAACGCACTGACACGTATCGCTTTAAATCCGGCAGTACAGTCGGCGACACGATAAATGCCGGCAATATAGCGGGCAAAAAGATTGCCACAGCGCGACAGCAGACGTCGTTGCAAACCCCAGCTTTCATCAACTTCACCGCCGCTGGTATAACGCGACCCAATGACCACATCATGTTCAGGCAGGGTTGCTACAAGTCGAGCCACATCTTCGGGGGCATGGGAAAAATCTGCATCCATCTGCACCACAACATCAACTTCCATGCCATTTAAAACGTGCAGAAACCCACGCGTATAAGCTGAACCCAGACCGCGTTTGCGACCTGACAACAACCGCACCCTGTCGTCCTGAGCAGCTATATCCAGCACCTGTGCAGCTGTGCCGTCGGGGGAATTATCATCCACAACCAGCACGGAGAAAACGCAGCTGTTGTGGCTGTCAAATTGCGCTAACAAAGCCACCAACATCGCGCGTATGTTTTCGGCTTCGTTGTACGTGGGTAATACAACACACACCGACACCAGGTCGCTGGAATTTTCGGCAGAGGTACGGGGCTGATTTCTCAAAGGTACAGATCGGTGTGGCAAAGGCGCCCGTTATACCGCAGCCACTGCGACTTGTCATGGCACATGCCTAAGCGTTAGCCTGCGCCCCGGCAGCGTAAGCCTGTTTTGCGACAGCAGCCTGAATTGCCGGATACCGGAGAAAAATAATGACCATAAAACGCATCCTGCTTTGCTGCAGTCTGACCACGACCTTGTTTGCCGCCACAGCCTCAGGTGAGCCTGATGACTCGGGCACAGGACAATGGTTTGTCGGCGTCACCGCCTCCATTGCTGATGTCACCATCGAAAACATTTCGGCCAACATAGGCACCGGCGTTGTCATCGGCGGCGAACGTGACGGGCAGATCGAAGACACCGAAGTCGACGACTACACCGCCGGTTTTGGTTTTTCGGTTGGACAACGCTTCGGCTACTGGCAACTGGCTACCCAATACATTTACCGCTATCGCACAGATTGGGACGTAGTCGCGGCAACCCCGGCCATCCAAACTATTACTAATGTATTCACCAACGTGGAAACACATACTTTACTGATTAACGCAGCGCGGCGCGGTCCCATTACCCAGCACTGGTCCTGGGAACTCGGTGCTGGCATCGGTTACGTTCATCATCGAATGGATTCCGAATACATAGAACGGGAAGTGCCTGGCGTAAGCGGTGAACAGGTATTCAAAGACCAACGTCGCAACGGCGGATTCAGTTATAACGTCTTTGCCGGGGTGACCCGCGAGTTCGGTCGCGACTGGACGCTTAACTTACGCACCAGCTACATAGATATGGCTGAGCTTAAAGCCGGGTCTTTTCCAGAACGGCCGGTTCGCTTAAGCGCAGATCAACATGCGGTTGAACTGCAGTTTTCAATCGAAAGAAATCTTTAACAAGCAACAAACCTGAAAAGAGAAGGTCATCAACCAGCTGCGTTGTGTTCATACAGTAGCGCATTACCCTTTTTTCCGACTATTTCTGTCACCCCGGCATGGCGCAGGCAATAAGCCATTTTCTGCGCTATATCTAACGGCTCGTCTAAGGCCGTCGCAAGGTCCCGGGTATCAAAGGGCGTAGGCAGCTCCATCTGCAGAAAATTAAACAGATCTGCCATATCCTGCAGGCGGACCCCTTCAACAATGTCGAGCAGGTGCTTTTCTTTGACCCGCCAGCCGCCGCGCCGGCGATTTTTCTTCGGATCAAACACCCTTATCTCTCGCACTTCAGTCAATACCGCCTCAACAGAAAAGTTAGGGTGATTGAGCATCTGCGGTAAATAAACGAGTTCATTAACTATGTGTATCAGCGCACCGCGTTTCGGCGACTTACGACTGGCCGGCTTTGCGCTCCCGTCTTCGGGCTGTTTAACGATGGTTGTGGTACGTGCAATTGGGTGCACCAATACCACCGGACCCACATCAGCCAACACACGCATCTTTCGACTCAGGCCGCTGAAACTACCTGTTTGAATCTCATACATGATGCCGTTGCGCACAGCGTCGGCAACAAAGGTCTGTACGGACACCTCTTCCTCGCCACCATTAGCGGAATAGGCTGCTTTCAGAGCGGCATGCAAAGGCCCTTCATTTAAAACACCAATCGACATAAATTCTGCTGAACGTAACGCGGCTTATAGCTGCGCACTGTACCGCAATTTCTCGAGTTGCTCACACCGCTGCCTATGCCATACTGCGCACTCTACAAAATAACCCCTGGGAGAAGAGATAATGAGCGCAGACGGCACCTGGAATACGACTATGAACACCCCCATGGGCGCCCAGAATGGCACCCTGCATCTGACCAGCGACGGTGGCAATCTGACCGGCAAGCTGGCCGGACCACAGGGCGAAATGGACATTACCGATGGCACCATTGACGGCGACAATCTCAGCTGGAAAGCCTCCATCACCTCACCTATGGCCATGACCCTGGAATTCAGCGCTGTTGTCAGCGGTGATGAAATCAACGGCAACGTCAAACTCGGCGCTTTCGGCGACGCCACCTTTACCGGCACCCGTGCCTGATAGCACCGCATGAGCTGGGAAGAAGAAATTCGTGAATTGCGGGCGCGTGAAGCGCTTGCTTTCGAAATGGGCGGTACAGAAAAAGTAGCCCGCCAGCACGAATTCAACAAGCTGACTATCCGCGAACGTATCGACGTCATCAGCGACGCCGAATCTTTTCATGAGATTGGCACCCTCGCCGGTGTGGGCGAATATGACGATCAAGGTGAACTCAAGAAATTCACACCCTCGAACTTTGTTTTCGGAACCGCTGACATTGACGGTCGTCCGGTGGTTCTGTCTGGCGACGATTTCACCGTTCGCGGCGGCTCAGCAGATGCCTCAATTGCCGGCAAGAGGCTTCGCGCTGAAGGGCTCGCGGTAGAACTGCGCTTACCCCACATTCGCCTGGTTGATGGCATGGGTGGCGGCGGTTCGGTCAAGACCATTGAGATGGCCGGTCGCACCTATATCCCGGAGGTACGCGGTTGGGAAACGGTAGTCACGCAGTTAGGTGTGGCGCCATCGGTATCCTTGGCCCTGGGTTCCGTCGCCGGTATTGGCGCAGCGCGCGTCGCCACCTCACACTACAGTGTGATTGTGCGCGACAGCGCGCAGATGATGATCGCTGGACCTGCGCTGGTCGACTGGGCCAGCCTCGGTGACGTGACCAAAGAAGAGCTGGGCTCATACAAAATTCACACGCGTAATGGCGCGATTGATGATGAAGCCGCCAGCGAAGCAGAAGCCTTTGCCATGGCCAGACGATTTCTGTCGTATTTACCCTCCAGCGTTGATGAATTACCTCCGCTCACCGAATGTGATGACGACCCCGAGCGCACCGACGACAAGCTGCTCGACATCGTGCCGAAAGACCCGCGTAAGGTCTACAAGATGCACGACGTGCTCGAGTCTGTTTGCGACAGCGGCTCATTTTTCGAAATTGGACGCAAATGGGGCCGCTCACTCATCACCGGTCTGGCCAGGCTGAACGGCATTCCGGTGGCCATCTTTGCGGAAAACCCACGGGTTTACGGTGGCGCCTGGACAGCAGACGCATCCCGCAAGCTGATTCGCTTTTGCGATCTGGCATCAACATTCCACCTGCCACTGATCCATCTGGAAGATTGTCCGGGCTTTCTGATCGGTAAGCAGTCCGAAGAAGAAGCCACCATCCGCCATGGCTCCGCTGCACTGGCAGCCTTGGGGCAAAGCAATGTGCCCTTCTGCTGTATCGTTATTCGCAAAGCGTTTGGCGTTGCCGGTGCTGCAAACCATAAACCCGGCAGCCATCATTTCCGCGCTGCCTGGCCATCTGGTGATTGGGGTTCTTTACCAATTGAAGGCGGCATCGAGGTGGCATACAAAGCTGAACTGGCCGAAGCCGCTGACTATGATGCACATCTGGCAAAAATCAAAGATCGTCTTAACCGACTGAGATCCCCTTACCGCTCAGCCGAATTTTTCGAAATCGAAGAGATCATTGACCCCCGACAGACTCGGTCATACCTGTGTCGCTGGGCAAAACTGGCGCGCGCGGCATCCCGCCCGCAGGCTCCAAATTTCTGGTACCGACCCTAGAGGGACCCGCATTGCCAAGCCGTTACAGAATGATGCTTTCTGCACTTGTATTACTCGCCGCGACAACGGCCCATGCACAAACCCAATGCACAAATGATGGCTTGTTACGCAGCGTTAACGTGGTCTACCCGGAACAGGGGCAGGTTTTACCCTGCGAAGTCCGTTACGAAAAACCTGCAGAGAATCAATCCATGACACTCTGGCGGGCAGAAAATCAGATAGGCTTCTGTGAAGCTCAAGCAGAGAAATTCATCGCCAAACTGCAGGACCTGGGATGGTCGTGCAGTGCCGATACCAGCAGTAAACTGCAAGACGGAGAATAAAACCCGCCCATGGCACAGGAATATCGACAGCATTCATTCAAGCGTCCACCTGGCGCTACAGAGATATTGTTAGTACGCCATGGCGAATCCAGAGCCGCATCGGAGGACAATCCATTTCCTCTGGTTGACGGCCAGGGCGACCCGGAACTTCACCCGAACGGCTGGGAACAAGCCCGTCGCGTTGGCGAACGCCTCAAGAGTGAACCTATAGATGCCATTTATGTGACCAACCTGCGCCGCACCCATGAAACGGCACAACCCCTGAGTGAGCACCTGAATCTCAAACCTATTGTCGAACCAGACTTGCGCGAAGTACATCTGGGCGAGTGGGAAGGTGGCTTACTGCGCATGAAAGCCGCTCAGGAAGATCCGATTTATCATCAGATGCGAATCCAGCAGCGCTGGGATGTTATTCCCGGTGCCGAAGGCTGGGATGCGGTTAACAAACGGGTGTCCGCGGGCCTTAGCCGCATCAAAGCCGCCCATCCGGATCAGCTGGTGGTCGCTGTTGTGCACGGCGGTATTGTCGCTCATATTCTGGCTCATGCCAGCGGTGCCCGGGCGTTCGCCTTTCAGGGGGCGGACAATGGTTCGATCAGCCACATTGTACTGATGGACGACCAGATCGTAGTACGCCGCTTCAACGACGTATCACACCTTCTCGGCACGCTGCATGATGGCAGCGGCGGTATGACCTGAACCAGGGTTGATCGGCTTTGGCCATCTCAGCCTGCCATTAGAGTTTTTTAGCCACCATGGTGCTGGCGGGCTGCATCACCAGCATAGAGTTGCTGTCCGCATCAAACTCCACCACCACATCTGGCACACTGTCGAAGTGAAAACGCCCGCCCAACTCCGGCACCAGTTCAAAGGTAGGCTGTCCCGGCACAACAACGTGCAGAGCAGAGCCCTTCTGTACAACTGAGAGCACTGCCAGCGGTGTCGTGTAGTCACCCACCCATTGTGCCAACCATGCAGGATCCGTCATCTGCGCTTCAACCTGCTTATCAAACACAATGGCGTCGGCAGTGGGTTCTAATCGAATCGAAACCCGGGCGATATCGCCACTCAGATTGTTATGAAACTGCACCAGGTGATTGCGCATGGCCATATCTTTCGATTCGCCAGAAGTCTTCCAGACGTCATAATGCCAATGGCTTAGCGGCACCAGCATATCGTTGTAGATAAGCTGCAGCTGCCTGCCAACCAACTGTATCTGCAGCTTACCGTAACCCGGTTGAATATAGTCCCCGCCGTACGCCGCAAGTTTATGTGTAGGTCTGGTATTCAGCTTACGCCGAGGATCATCACGCTCAGAAGGATTTGGCATCTCTGCGTTTTTCTTACGGGCCAGCGCCTGCGCCAGCCAATCCTTCTGCGGATGTCCAAGCAGCATGTCTACAGCGGTCAGGCTGAGCCATTGAGGCAGCTCGGTGTTTGCGTTCGCGAAGGCAACCAAACCCAGATCCTGCTGCGGAAACAACATGACATTGGTGATGAAACCATCAATGCCACCACTGTGATGCACGTGTTTTTTCCCCTGGTAGGTACCAACCATCCACCCCAGACCATAAACAGGTGGCGAAAATTCCTGCCCGGAGGATTCCACACCCATAGGCATGTGGTAGCCACGGATCTCCTGCAATGTCGTGGCACTCACCAGCGGATGTCCATCAAACCCACCTTCAGCCAGGTTCAACTTCAGCCAGTTGGCCATTTCATTAATAGAAGAATTAACCGAGCCTGCGGGACCAATGAGATCCAGCGAACGAAAAGGGATTTCACTGACCTCGCCGTCTTCAATAAGATATGGCCGCGCGAAATTATCATCGGTTTGCGACTGCGCAACGGAAAAATTAGTCCGATGCATGTTCAGCGGACCTAGCAGGCGGGCCTGCATCAGGTCTTCCCAGCTTGGCTGGCCAGCCACTGACGCGGCCAGCATCCCGGCGGTCATATACATCAGATTGTTGTACTGGAAAAGGCTGCGTGGCCCAGCCGTCAGCGGCAGATATTCAAGTCGGCTTAAGGCTTCTTTGCGCGACGTAGAAGTGTTGTTGTACCACATCAGATCATGTCGGGGCATGCCAGTTCGATGCGTAATAAGATCTCTAACAGTCGTCTGGGCAGCAACAGCCTCATCAGCAAGCTTGAACTGCGGCAGGTGGTCCCGCACCGGGTCATCCCAGGACAACTGTCCAGCTTCAACCAGCATGCCCAGTACCGTAGTGGTCATCGCTTTAGTGGTTGAGCCGATCGCAAACAGTGAATCCGGCGTCATCGGCAGATTATTTTCAACATCACGCAAGCCGAAACCGCGCGCATAAATCAACACGCCCTTGTGCACAATGCCAATAGCAGCGCCGGGCGCCTGAAAGTCCAGAAGGGCCTGCTCAGCCTTTTCCGCCAGCCCCTCCAAGGCTTCCAGGGCTGCACCAATTGGATCTGCAGGCATGAGATCAAAAGCAAAAGTTCCACCACTCTGGCTGAACAGGCCAGATACAGAAGATATCTGTCTGCCGTCCTCCGTCAGCGCCAGCTCACCCAGGAAAGATGGATTGCCCGGCACACCTTCAATCACAAAAGCCAGGGATGTCAGGCCGTTAGCGGTAGACAGCAGCAGATCTTTTAAGGGGAGGTTTTTAGCGCCTTGCGCTGGAATACTGATCGTACCGGACAGCTGCGCGTTTTCGCCATGCAGGACAACTTCGATATCAAGATGCTGGTTCGGCAGTGCAATGCGCCCTTCCCAACTGCCTTCAAGCGCGGGCAAACCATAAACACTACAGGTGATAAAACAAAACCCAAGCAGCGCAATGCTCCGCAACCTCCTGCAGCACAACCGTCCCGACCCTGTTTTCATGCCAAGCCCTCCACAGCCTGGAAACACAATATCCGGATTTACGTGCCAGGACAATTTACAACAGAGCGTTGAAAACCGCGTTAGCGTCATCACAGGAAATTGATGTTCTATACGTTAAACTGCGGTTTTTTAATCAACTCAGGAAAATATTACAGACATGTCTTTTGAACTGCCCGCTCTGCCTTATGCCGACGATGCCCTTGCACCCGTTATCACCGCTGAAACCATCGGCTACCACTACGGTAAACACCACCAGGCATACGTCAATAATCTCAATAAGCTGATTGCCGATACAGACCATGCCGATGCGTCTTTGGAAGAAATTATTGTCGCCAGCGAAGGCGGCCTGTTTAACAACGCTGCGCAAGTCTGGAACCATACTTTCTACTGGCATTGCATGACACCCGGCGGTGCCGCACTTGAGCAAGGACCACTGCTAGACGCAATCAATAAAAGTTTTGGTTCCGTAGATAAGCTCAAAGAGCAGTTCATTGCCGCTGCAACCGGCAACTTTGGATCCGGTTGGACCTGGCTGATTGCCGGTGACAACGGTGATCTGGAAATTGTTAATACCAGCAATGCAGACACCCCTCTGGCACACGGTGCACAACCTTTACTGACCTGTGACGTCTGGGAGCACGCGTACTACATTGACCATCGCAACGCCCGGGCAACCTACTTAGAAGGTTGGTGGGGCCTGATCAACTGGCCGTTTGTTGCCAGCCAGCTCTGATCCTGATTTGAGCTGAAACAACGCCTCCACACAGGCCTGCATCTGACTGCGGGTCCTGCTGGAGGCACCTTCTTTACGAATCGAGCCCATCGCCTGGGCTAACCTGCGCCGAAGGTCCTCTGGGATCTGATCCATCACGTTTTCCTGGTCCTGCATCTGCGCAGACATGACACTGCGCAGCGCATGATTACGCTCACGAACCAGATCATGATGCAGCCATGCACGTCCCAAAAATACCCAGGGAAAATTTGCCGCCTTTATCGGACCCACCTGCACAAGCTTGCCGCCCAACTGCTGCCCGAGCACTTTGATTTTCGCAATTTCATCCGAAGCAAACCAACTGCCAAGGCTGCCCACAGCAGCACCCACAGCGGTACCCAACAGCAGGGAAGCGCCACCAAGCAGCGCATCTATACCAAAGCCAGCCACGGCACCGGTCATGGCACCGGTGATCAGCAATTGCGTTCTCGACAAGCCGAACAAAGCCCAGCCTTCTTCACTGAACAGATCTATATCCAACAGCACCAGATCGGTTTCATCAGCGCGCATGCGATCATGACGGTAAATACTTTGCACCTGCTGGCGCGCCCGTTGCTCGCGTTCGCGGATGCGTTGTAACAGCGCGTTACGCAGTGACTGCGCGACACCATCGGTAGCGCCACCCTCCTCGACAAACTGCTGGCCGGTATAACTGAGGCAATCTATCAACGCATCTGCAACTTCTATCGCGCTGCGGTGCAGACGGCGGCTACGTTCGGATTGCAGCGCAGCAATAGCGGCTTCCATGTCACCGCGCCAGTCTTCATTGAGCTCCGCAAATGCACGTAATAAATTGGTCCGCGTATCGAAGTCCGCAAACATGGCATTAAACACACGCACAATAGAAAAATACTGATCTAACGCTCGACGCCACTGATCCTGATAGTCACCTGCCCCTATCAGGTTTATCAAGGCCATACGGGGCTGGCCCGTCCACTGCAGAATCTGCATTTCAATTTCATACTCGGGCCCGTAAGGTTTCGAGCCATCAACAACATATAAGATCCCCGCACCGTCCAGAATCGGTCGCAGAAGCTCACATTCGTCCTGAAATCTATCATCGTCCTGGTGTTGATTTACAAACGCCCGCACCACATCCACCCGATTGCTGGCGTCTTCCACATGCGCCTCAAGCCATTGCAGCACGCCGGTTGCTCGCTGAAAACCAGGCGTGTCGACAAGCGTATACAGCACATTACCATCAACACTGAAGTCAAATCGTGTCGACTTACTTGTTGTGCCCGGGCGGGAGCTGATGGCGATATCTTCATTTTCCGCCAATGTGGCAACAATTGAACTCTTGCCTTTATTGGGGTGGCCGACAACTGCAAACTCAGGCATCAGAAACCCCACCGTAACTCATGACGTAAGTGCGGGCGTCGTTCAGACCGGCTACGGTTCGAGCCCACACGGCGATGTCCTCTGCGCTGGCTGGGGCAGCTTCAAGACCTACGGGAACCACCGCTATCGAGCAGGTTTTGTTCACCTGTTTGCGCAGAGCTGCCAGAAAGTCGAGGAACTCCAATAATGGTGGTTCCCAGCTTTTTGTCAGCACAACCACTTTCTCGTAAGGCCCGGGCACCTGTTTAAGGATGTTATCCATAGCTTCGATTGTGGATAAGGCGGATAACCAACCAACACCTTCAGAGCGAAGCGCAGATTCTGACACTGCACCGTTCCAGACGAGAATGTAGGCATCATCAAAATCCAGAGAAACCGGACTCCCCTCTGGCCTTTTGAACTCCCGCACATCTACTTCGGGAAACAACTCAGAGCGATCTGCCTGCTCCTGATGTTCACCTAAATCAATCAGCGGTGAGACCAATCGATCGATTAACGCAGTCACTTCCGAATGTTCCAGCAGATAAGTACGGGTTGCTCGATGAAACCGCCAGCTCCCAAGCAGTAAAAGCAATAAGCGAGGCATTAATCCCCATACCAACAAGCTCATAAACACATATTTCCACCAGATACCAAGGCGGGCAACCTGTTCAACGCCGCTGGGGGCAGCCAATCGAAATATCCGTGAGGCTTCAACCAGCTCAGCATCCGGCGCAGCAGCAGGCCAGAAGCTGGCCCAGGGAAACGCCACCGCGTTAAACAGGCTGTATATAGAGGTGGGCTCTACCGCCAGAGTTGTGCTCCAGCCAAATGCCAGGTCGCTGACAGAGACAAGCACTGCTAACGCCAACACCGAACCGACATAGAAGCCGACCCCGAACCACTGCGAAAAGACCACAACCTGCCAGAAGCCGAGCCTGCTGCGGGCATCACCTTGTCCATAGTTGCCACTGAATTGCAGACCGATATAACGTTCAAACAGATCCAGCGTCCAGCGGCCGGGACTCATCCAATGGGGTAACAAGGCTATGGCATTCAGGCCAAAAGCCTGCAGGAAACAGAACATCAGCGTGAGTAACAGAAGCAGCAACGGAAGCAGCAGCAGCACACCCAGAAGCGCCAGCAGATTGATGGGGTACTCACCTTCGAAGGTCAGCGCCAGGCTGCTCACCCCCACGCCAACCAACAACCCGATACCCAGCAGCAGCCAGGACAGATTGCGGCGAACCTGCATCACACGCTGACCAAGACCCGAATTTGCAGGTCGCTCAATTGCCTGCCACCACAGCAGAACTCTACGCACAGGATCAGCATCAGGTTGTTGCTGACCAATTGATCGATCACGCTTGAGACGCTCAAGATCAGCGGTATTGCTGTCCTGTTCAAGCCACTGGTGGATGTCTGCGGCCTCGGCGAGCAGCGGTTGCTGATCAGGCACGGGGTGAGTCAGATCCAACATCAGGCACAGTCTCAGCCGATATCTGTAGAAGAACCTGCACTACCTCAGACAAATGGGCGGGTGGCAGGGCCTTCAGTTGTGCCATTAACTCATAAAGTTGTGCCGCGCCAATATGAAATTGCCCGGGTAGATTGTGCTCCTCAAAGGTCTTCGCAATCTCACGCATTTCGCCTGCAAAACGCCAGGCTTTTCTGGATGTGGCCAGAGCAGTTTTTTCACTGCGATCAGCCAGGCCGGGTTGTGACAGCTGCCATTCCTGCTGCAACGTCTCCGTTACTCCAGCCGCCTCAGCTAAGGCATTAACCGCCAGTAAAAGTGCACTTGACCCTTTTGTGTAAGCGGCATAAGCCATTTTTAGCGCAGACGCCGCGCTGCTATTTCCCTGCATGACAATCGCCTGCAGATCAGATCCGTCGAACATGGCAGCTACAGACGACGCCAGTTCACCGCAGAGATATAAACGTGTCGATCCTGGCTGACGAGCCGGTGGGCCAATGATGCCACCGTCAACAAACCGGCCTGCAAAAAGGTCAGCAATCTTTTCCGCAGTGGACGGTGCTATGGCGTTGGCATCAACAAAAATACCCGTGAAATTTTCCCGATGCACGCTCTGAGCAACGGCATACGCCGCATCAGGCGGACACACCGATATCAGCACATCAGCGTACTCACACAGTGTCGTCAAACTATCAAACGCCGTGAACTCGGCGGCGCGCGCGCGGGTTGCCTCGCTACGGTCAACATTCAGCCAGGCAACCCCATGCCCGTTGCGCTGCAGACACAAGCCTACGGTTACACCCATATCACCCGGGTGCAGAATACCCACGTTCATTGCAGTTCGCCTCCTAGCGACGGTAGTCCAATGGCGGCTCACGATCTCCTAACAAGGCTTCGTAAACAAAACCCTCCTCCCTGGCAAGCAGAAACTCAGCACGAGCGGCGGCTATGGTTTGCGGATCCTGCATGAGGTCCACAGCGGTCTTAGCCAGCAGCCGTGACGCCAGCAACATACCTTTGTGCCCGATGCTCATACCACCGGCTGCTACCGCCTGCCAGCTGTGCGCGGGTGTACCCGGCACCCAGGTTGCCGTATTGAAACCAACCGTTGGCACCAGCCAGCTCACATCACCGACGTCGGTGGAGCCCATGCTCTGACGCAACTGAAAAGCCTGTATCTGACTTTCAGAACCCAGCGGTAACGTGGGATTCATTAATGTAGTGTAAATCTCTTCAGCAAATTTCTGCTCCGCCGGGGTATAGCTGATGCCACCCATCTGACGGAGATTGTCATCGACCAGCTTCGCCAGCGTGTAATTTGGCAGCACCGGATAATTGCCGTGCATCACCTCTACATCCACCTCGGTTTCAGTGCCCATTGCGGCAGCGTCTGCTGCTTTCACAACCCGATTGAACAACTCAACCACTTTGACAGGGTCAGGGTGACGAACGTAGTAATAAACCTGCGCCCTTTCCGGAACAATATTGGGTGCATCGCCACCATCGGTGATGACGTAGTGGATACGGGAAGTTTGCGGAATATGCTCTCGCATCATATTGACCATGTAATTCATGGCCTCAACACCGTCCAGGGCTGAACGACCTTTATCTGGCGCGGAAGCCGCGTGCGCTGCGCGGCCGCTGAAAGTAAAACGGCCACTTTTATTCGACGTGGTTGAATACGGTGCGGCAGAGTTGGCGCTACCCGGATGCCAATGCAGCATAATATCCACATCATCAAACAGGCCTGCTCGCGCCAGATAAACTTTACCCGACCCACCTTCTTCGGCTGGCGTACCAAACACTTTTATCGTGCCGGGCTGTCCATCGGCTTCCAGCCATTGCGCAATGGCGACACCCGCGCTGGCTGACGCGGCACCAAAGAGGTGATGTCCACAGGCATGACCCGCCCCGCCTTCTTGAAGCGGTGATCTTGACGGCTGCGCAGCCTGACTAAGACCAGGCAGGGCATCAAATTCCGCCAGAATACCAATGGTTGGCCCGCCGCTACCAAAGCTGGCAACAAATGCGGTGGGTATGTCAGCAACGCCAGCATCTAGGGCGAATCCCGCTTTCTTCAGGTAGCCCTGCAGCGCCTGGCTGCTGTTCTGCTCCTGATAACCCAGCTCAGCAAGGTTCCAGATTTTGTCCGCCAGGGCGACACTCGCCTCGGCTTGAGCCATGACCTTGTCTTCAATTTCAGTCGACGCGAGGGACGCCTGTGAAAACAGACCGGACAATGTCAGGCAAAGTATCATTGTTTGACGATTGCTGAATTTCATCAACGGTATCTACCAAGAAATTTGTGTATAACGGGCGCTAGTCTAGCAGCTTTGTTTGTTCAGTTTAGGTTCAGGCAGTCACAGCGATGCTGGGCGTAACTGTACGTCTGCCGCTTGTGGACAACCGCCAGGAATAGACATGACCTACCCAGCCCAAAAAACGATATCCGCCTTTTTTTTTGTGATTGTGGGCTTTTTGTTCACATCTAATGCTGCAGCGTTACCCCATCAGGGTGTGCGTGTAGACAGTATCGCAGCGGTCTCTTCGGGCAGTACCTGGGAGGTGCTGGATTATCAGCACGTGGTTGTCACCCTGAATTCTCAGCAACGCTATCTCTTAACGCTGACTCACATGTGCCCGACACTGGCGGTTGCCGCCAAGCTGGGTATCAGCGCATCCGGCGACACCGTGTACGCAGGCTTTGACTACATTACCGCAGATGGTGAACGTTGTTTGATCAAGGGAATTTCGCGTTTACAGGCATAACCCCTATGTTTCATAGAAGCGCTTTTTCCATGGCATAGTTATGGATAGCCACCCCGCCCACTTCTAAATCACGCCGATGTTTCTCGACAAAACCACGGCGCAGAAAGAATCTGCGCGCGGCTTCGCTTGCCTCTGTAAAAAGCAGCGTCAACTGCTGCTGCCGGGCATGTGCTTCCATCTGCTCATAGAGACTCACCGCGATTCCAGTACCAGCTACAGCCGGTAAGGCATACAACATGTCAATATGACCATCGGATTCAAGATCAATGAACGCCATCACCTTATCCTCACCATCCACGGCCACCAAAGTCAGTCGTCCATCTGCATTCATCGCGGCGAACTGCTCAACGGTAGGTGCATTGGCCAGCCATGCCTCAACCTGTGCCGGTTGATAATCAGTGGGCGCAATTTCGATAATCGCGGCTCGAAAAACCTGTGCAATCGTCGGAGCATCAGCAGATTTATACGTTCGGATAATGAAATTCATGGGTCAACCTGAGCGTGCGCCTGCTCAATTATGCCTTGCCATCGGACAGGAAACAGGTTTGGAGGGCGGACAAACTAAGATAATATCAGGTGAAGTTAAGTCTGGAGGGTGGAATATGAACTGGCAGGAATACGAGATAGAAAGAGAACAGTTACTGGCGCACGCACAGGCCGATGCTGCCTCAATACCCCTTGAAGATATCGACGTCGGTCATTGGGACATCATGCGCAACGACACCATTTGGCCCTACTTCCAACGCCTGCGCCAGGAGGCGCCGGTGTATCACCATAAAAAAAGCATCGTCGGACCTTTCTGGTCAGTGACCAACTACGAAATGATCAAAGCGGTAGATACTGATGCCGCTCAATTCTCCTCAGAGCCGACCATTGGACTCAATGAGGTCAGCGAAGAAGACAGCGCTTCAAGTTTCATTTCCATGGACGACCCTCAACACGCAGTGCAGCGTAAAGCGGTCGCTCCGGTGGCAGGCCCGCGTAATCTGGCCGCACTGGAACCACTGATACGCGAGCGAGTAGTCGGCATTCTCGATAGCCTGCCCATAGGTGAAACATTTAACTGGGTCGACAAGGTCTCTATTGAGTTAACCACCCAGATGCTGGCCACACTGTTCGACTTCCCTTTTGAAGATCGCTATAAACTGACGCGCTGGTCAGACATCGCTACCTCGCCGCGAAAAGCTGGCCTATGGGATACATTGGAGGAGCGTCAGCAGGAACTCAACGAATGTCTTCAGTACATGACGCGACTGAGAAATGAGCGCGCTGACAACCCTGAAGGTCACGACCTGCTAACTATGCTGGCACACAACGACGGCACAAAAAACATGCCGCCTGCAGAGTTTCTCGGCAACCTTCTGCTGCTTATTGTTGGCGGTAACGACACAACGCGTAATTCGATTTCCGGCGGCGTGCTCGCTATGAACAGATTTCCAGAAGAATTCGAAAAACTGAAAAAAGATCCTGCAAAAATCCCCAATGCGGTAGCAGAGATCATCCGCTGGCAGACGCCACTGGCGTTTATGCGACGCACCACAACCACAGACGTAGAAATCAACGGCACGGTCATCCCGAAAGGTGAACGGGTGCTGATGTGGTATGCCTCAGGTAATCGAGATGAAGCCGTGTTTGAAGACCCGGACAATCTCAACGTTGACCGTTCCAATGCACGACAGCACCTGTCGTTTGGCTTCGGGGTGCATCGTTGTATGGGCAATCGTGTGGCAGAGCTTCAACTCAGGCTGTTGTGGGAAGAGATGTTACAGCGGTACAGCAGAATCGAAGTTGTCGGCGCACCCGTGCGCGCGATTTCGAATTTTGTGCGTGGCTACACTGAGTTACCGGTGAAACTGCACACCTGATTGCCCGCATCCACACGATGATTAACTAAGGCACTGATATGACTTTCAATTCACTTGCTGAGCTAACTCGCACGCATCGTGCCAGCACCCCGGATAAAACCGCACTGCTTTATACTGCTGACGATCGACGCTGGACTTACTCCGAGCTCGACAGGGAAGCTTGTCAGGTGGCCAACGCCCTGCAAGCCATGGGCATCAAAGCCCAGGATCGAGTGGCTTATCTGGACAAGAACGCACCAGAGTATTTCACGCTGTTTTTTGGTGGCACCAAGTTGAACGCAGTGTCTGTTGCTGTGAACTGGCGTCTGGCAGCGCCTGAAATGGAATACATACTGAACAACAGTGAGGCGAAGGTGCTGGTGATTGGTGAAGCGTTTCTCGAACACCTGTCCCAAATGGAACTGCAGCTGGGTGATAACGTGATTGTTATCGGCGATGCCGGCAACACCGGTTATCCAACGTTTGAGCAATGGATTGCCCGGCAATCAGAACAAGACCCGAGTGCACCCATCAGTGCAGACGACACCTGCTATCAACTCTACACGAGTGGCACTACCGGCTTACCCAAAGGTGTCGAAATCACCAATCGCAACATGCTGCATATGCTGGAGCAAACTTTAGCAGGACCGCTCGCGATGACGTCCGCCGCTGTCAATCTTGTTTGTATGCCACTGTTTCACGTATCCGGCAGCGGCTGGGCTCTGGGCGGTGTGTACGCTGGCGCCGAATCCATTCTTTTGCGCGACGTAGAACTGCAGGAAATTCTGCAGGTCATGCAGAACCATCGCATCACGCATTCAGTGTTTGTGCCGGCGGTTCTACAGTTTCTGCTGGCTCAGCCCAACATCAAAGATTTTGATTTTTCAGCACTGCAGGCCATCGTTTACGGCGCCAGCCCAATCACCGAAGAAGTATTAGTGGGCGCCATCAAAACCTTCGGCGCTGATTTTTTTCAGGTTTACGGCTTAACCGAAACCACCGCGGGCATCACTCAACTCATCCCGGAAGACCATGATCCAGGTGGTCCCCGCGCGCACCTGTTACGCTCCTGCGGGAAAGCGGTGGAGAACCACGAAATCAAAATTGTCGATCGGGAAACAGGTGAGGTGCTCGGCGACAATGAGGTTGGAGAAATCTGGATCCGGGGGCCACAGGTCATGAAAGGCTATTGGAATAACCCCGAAGCGACCCAGGAAAGCATCACCACAGATGGATGGTTCAAATCTGGTGATGCCGGCTATCTGGCTGACGGATATCTGTTTATTCACGACCGTGTGAAAGACATGATTATCTCAGGCGGCGAGAACATCTATCCCGCAGAGATCGAAAATGTCTTAATGGCACATCCAGACATTGCCGATGCGGCGGTCATCGGGATTCCCAGCGATCGTTGGGGTGAATCCGTCAAAGCCGTTATCACGCGTGCAAATGACTCGCTCAGCGAGGAAGACATCTTCTCTTACTGCCGCCAGAACCTGGCCCACTATAAGTGCCCCACCAGCGTTGACTGGATGGATGTAATACCACGCAACCCGTCGGGTAAAGTTTTAAAAACCGAGTTGCGCAAACCCTACTGGCAGGGCCGTGAGAGAAATGTGTCCTGATGGATTATGCGTTTATAACAGGTGATTAGAGTCTGTCGGGTTCAAGGCGTGCTTTTCCACCATGTAGAAAGCAGGTCTTGGTGAATAGCGTCTGATCCAGTAACTGCAGATAATCCACCACAACAAAAATTCAGGATCCGAGTTTGTTTCATTATCCCTCGTTAAAATAATCCCTGTACAACAGCCCAACTGCTTATTCGCTTCGCCACCACCTCGGGCGACAGGCCTGAATTATCGATCAGGATATGAGGGAGGGGCAGAGGCAGCTGACCGCCGCTGTTCAATTGGTGATGGGTTTCATTGTGGTGTCGGCGTGCTTCTGAGGCTTGCACATCGGCTTTACTGGGTTTTGCTGCTAATCTTTCCGGGGCTGTATTGCGGGCTTTCTTTACTGCCTCGTCTGCACACAACTCAACCACCACCACCTTACCTTCGGTGGCTTCGTGCCAGTTCTTAACCAACCTTGCAACGGCTGCGGTATCTGCTTCAAGATCAAAAGCCCAAACCGCAGTCATGATTAGACCCGCGTGATCACTGTTTGCCACAGCCTGCACGATTGAGTCTTTGAGGGTGTTGTTGAGGTTGTCGAAACCGGGCGCGCCAAAGTCAAAAAACTTCAGCGCTAACTCGATGGACAGATGATTGTGCAGCAGCGGAAAAGCCGTGGCTGACGCCAGCGCCTGACCAACCGTCATTTTACCAACCGCGGGTGGCCCCACGATCAGCACCAGTGGTTTCACACACTACCCTTAAAATTAGGTGGGCAGAAAGTGTACCGGATAACGGATGGTTGTGCGTTTCACGTCACGCTCACCAAAATTGAACAGACGGATGCGATTGACAATTTTGTCGATCATCAATTGATCCGCAATCTCAGATGCCACCACCTTACATTCAATGACAGCGCCGTTGGGGTCAATGACCAGTTCCAGAACCACTTCACCCTGGAGTGCCGGATTGGAACGCAGGGTTCTATTGTAAATAGCAAAGATCGCACCTTTGTTGGTATCAAAAACACGCCGGATCTCTTCGATGCTGCGACTGCGAGGGTCAGCCACCTGCTGCTTACGGACGCCGCCAGTGCCGGCAACGTTCTCAGGCGCATCGACCTTAGTGGTTTGCCGACCAGACAGAGCTACGCCGCCGGTTTCACGAGACAGGGCAGCCACGTTAACACCAGAACTTCGAGTACTGTGTTTGGAGGTCAGCAGGTTGCGGTCTATGGTTGCGGCCTCACCAGAGCCTCTTTGGATGGAGGCTGTGTCTTGTAACTTGTCAACATCAACAGCTTCGCGCATGTCTGCAAACGCATCTTTGAACGCCAGCAAGCCCGATACGGATGCCTTTTCCTTCGCATCAGCTACTTTAGGCTCCACCTTTGGTTTCACAACCTCTTCTTTAGCAACCTCTTTAGGCACCTCAGGCTTAACTTCTTCAACTTCTTTTGGCGGCGGCGGTGGTGGCGGCTTAGGTTTCGGTTGTTCCATAACAATCCGCGCCAATTGGGGAGGCAACGCTTCCAGTTCTTCCCGCTCCACTTCAGGTAGCGTCAGAAAGGGCATCGGCAGGCCAACCACCAGCAATACACCAAGACAGATCACCATCCAGGATTTCAGTACCTTGCGGTCTGATCGCTGGTTATCCCAGGGCAGATCAAAGTCATGCACTTTAGCCATCATTGTGCTCATGACGCTGCTCCCTGGCTGACTTCAGTGGTTGCAGCTGACAGTTCTTCTATACTGGCTTCGCCACCGACTTTATTAACCGCCAGACTGACTCGGGCAAAATCCGCAGTCTGACAAGTCATCAGAATTTTTTTCAACAACCAGTAGGGAAGCTCTTTGTCGCCTATGACAGTAATTTCGAAACCGCCTTCCGGAATTTCACCGCGTCGGGTCGCCTGATACTCAAGCTCCGACTGCAGACCCGCAATCATCAGATCTTCGGTACCAAAAAGGTCAGCCACTTTCGCCACAGACCGCCCTTGCACTACCAGATCTTCTTCATCTACAGAAATCATCAGCTGATTCTTCGGTTGTTTTTCCGAAGAAGAATCCGGCAGTTTGATTTTGGAACTGGTCTGCAGCACTTCCACTTCTGAAGAGTTCACCATCAGGAAGAAAACCAGAATCGTGAAGATATCCATCAGCGAGACCAGATTCAGACCCGCTGTTTTGCCTTTTCTGCTTTGCCGCGATCGTCGGCGCTGGGTATGGCCACTCACGACTGATCTCCTGTGGATGGCTTCGCTGCGACAGCAACGGACTGTTCGCCTGCCGGTGTATCACCCAGAGAAATCACTGGAAAAAGTTCTGCCTGAACCACGTCTAAGGCCTGCACAGCCGGGTACGAACGCACCTTGTCCATCACCGAGACCAAAGTCTGATAGCTGGTGTCTTCCTGCAGCAGAACCGTTATGTCTTCTTTTTCCGGCATGCGGCGCTTGAGCTCCTGCATAACCAGAGACAGTTCTGCGAAGTTATGTTCACCGTCAACTGCCGGCACCTGTTTGATAACCCCACCTCGACCATCGGCCACCACCAGACGATCCGCATAAACGGCCACTTCCAGATGTACCGCCTCAGGATCAAACTCACCAGATGCAGCTTGGCCAGTGGGGAAATTCAGGTCGATGACCGTGGTATGGGTAAACACCATCGACAGCAGCAGTACCGGTACCAGCACGATCATGAGATTCATGAACGGCGTGACATCCAGGTCAGCAGCTTCAGTATGTTTAAGTCGTCTGAGACGAACGCGATCCATGCTCACTTTGGAATATCCTCTGTGTTGTTCGCTTTACTTGGCTACTGCCGCTTTCGCGCCTACTTTGCCAGTGACTTTAGCTGCTGCATCGGCATGGCCTTCCAGCAGATTCACGAACTTCACTACCGCAATCTCTAACGACTCAACAATCGCGCTGGTCTTGCTCTGCAGCATGGAGTGAATCAACAGCAGTGGGATAGCCGCCATCAAACCAAACGCGGTGGTATTCATCGCAATCGAAATACTCTGTGACAGGAGCGTTGCTTTTTCGGCCGGGTCAGCATTGGCAACCGCGGTAAACGCAGCAATAAGACCAATAATCGTACCGAGCAGGCCAAGCAGTGTTGCAATGTTTGCAAACGTTGCGAGGTACGGTGTCCGACGCTCAATATTCGGCAGCGCTTCCAACAGACCTTCTTCCATCGCCGATTCGATATCCTGACGACGTCGCAAATCGTTTGACGTGCTCTGTTTGTTAACACCATCTGCAACTATTCGAGCCATTGGCGACTTGGACTTTTTGGTCAGGTCAACAATTTCACGAACACGACGCTGCTTTAACAACGGCAGTAACGCGTTGTAATCTTTACGATTAATCCGCATCTGCTGCGCAAGATAAAAATATCGTTCAAGTGCTATCGCCACACCAATGGCTAATACCACGGCGATGGGATACATGAACGGGCCTCCTTCCTGGAAGAAACCCACAAAGGTTGCGTACATATCCATTTCTACTTCTCCTGATCTGGATTTTCTTTCAATCCCGACAACGTATCGAAGTAGCCAAGCTCTCTTCGATACGCTGGTGGGTACAAACGCCGAAACACCTCAGCTTCGGTAAATTCCGCCTGTATCTCGATATCTGGCAAACCCTGTGGTTCACGCCAGGGTAAGATATAAAGCACTTTGGGTAATTCTTGGTTGCCGGAGATCACGGTTTCGTCAAGTTGCAGGAAACCACCTGCAGATTGTGCTACCTGGGACGTACTTTCGGCATTTTTTGCCACATCTTGCGCAGCTCCTTGCGCCACTTCTTCACCCACCGCAGAAGCAGCTGAAAACGCGATCAGCGAGGTCATCAGAATGGTTTTTAAGCGCAACAATGCCATTGGTTTTCTCCACTATCGCCTGGCGATGGCCGCAACGCGGCGTTCTAAATCCATCACCCATCCAGCCACCTGCTGGTTCGGACTGGGCAACATGACCTGGTAATCGTTGTAGGCAGCAAGCGCTTCCGGCAATCGACCCATGTAAAGTTCATACAGGATGCCCAGATTCAGATACGCGTTTGCATAAGCTGGATTGGCCTCGATACAACGCTGGTAATACTGCTGCGCCAGAGGGAACTCACCCTGTTTGCGCGCCATGACGCCAAGTTGGGTAAGCGCATCACAATTAGCGGGGTTCGCCTGCAAAGCTAACTCAAAGGAATGTCGCGCCTGTGCTTCATCATTCTGCGCAAGGGCTATGTGACCAAGGTTGACCCAGGGACCGGCAAGTTCTGGTTGAGACTCTGCCAGTTCCTGGAACAAAACCTGCGCTGCACTGAGGTTATTGTCTTTAAGCAACTCCACGCCGCGTTCAAATAACGCCTGACTACCTGCATGCAGAGGTGGCGTGGGCACCGGGGGTGCAACCAGATCAGCCTCACCATCCTGCCCATCAAGCTGAGTGGACGCTGAGCTTGCAGACGATGTTGGCGCATCCTGTTTTATGTCACCCTTGAAAGGCAAAGGCATACTCGCACAGGCGCTTAACATAAAACAGAACGCTAACAGGCCAATTCTAGTGGATTGCATTGGCATACCTCACTTCACTTTCCTGCTTGTTAAACCGGCCCGGCATCAGCCGTATCAGCTCAGCAAATGATTTTTTAACGGCGTCGTCATAAGTACCGTTCCAGGCACGACGCATATTGATTTCGTGCAGCTCAATGGCCTGCTCTTCAAACGGAAAGGCCTGCTCTTCCAGAAGAATTTCATACTGATCCAACTCAAGGGCAGAAAGATCTTCAGGCCGATCTGACGTCATGATCGATTTTGATAACGCCGAATAGAGATCTGCAATTTCAAACGTTGACGCGGTGGTAAACGCTTCAACTTCATAACCGGCAACCCGTTCGTAGGCCTTCAAGGTCTGCTTCAATGCTTTTTGCTTACGCTTGAGACTACGATTCAGTGGATGTGTCAGACGAATCGCCTGGTAGGCCAGCCGTTCATCATTGGCAAAGACCATTTGCGCATCAGCGGCCAGATAGGTTGCGCGCTCGGTAGCCTCGCCACCCATTTCCCGGTGCAGTTTGATTTTCTGATCCAGCCAGTAGCGCTGCTTTTCGCCGTCACCCACACGCTGGTAGAGCTCATCCATGTTGTGAATGGCTTCCAGGCGCAAGTCATAGGGCTTTTTATAGGTATGTGCGTATTCACGGAAATATTCGATAGCTGCGTTAACGTCATCCTGCTGCAGGTAAATTTCTGCTGCGCGATAGAGCGACTGTCGTCGCACTTCGACATCATCAGCGGAGGTTGCAAGACCCGCGTATTCAACCGCCGCAGCTGACCAATTCTGCGTCTGCTCGTACATACCGGCCAAACGCATATCGATGCCCTTGCCCAGTTCATGATCGGGATAAAGGCTGCGAAACTCAGCCAGCATCGCTACCGCGTCCGGTATACGACCGGCGGATTCAACAACAGCAATGGCATCGAAGTGGCCTTGAGCCGCGAGCGCTGCAGCAGGATCGATTTGCGCTATGCGCATGAAGTGATACACCGCTGTATCCACATCACCCGCCAGATCGCTGGCTTCACCCTGTTTATAAACAGCAGCCAGCAAACGCTCCGAAACTTTTGCGCGCTCTTCGCTGGACAGCTCAATGGCAAGCAACTTGTGATACGCCTCTTCTGCCGGTACAAATTGATCAAGCTCATACCGTCCATGACCAATAATCAGCAAGGCTGTTTTTTTCAGTTCAGGCTCAACGTCAGGCCACTCGAGCAGAAGATTTTCCGCCAGATCTAACGCTTCCGTTGTGTGTCCAAGGGTAAACAACGTATCTGCTGCATCTGTCTGCACTGCTGGTGCGCGGTTGTCACCTGGGAAGATCAGCGCAAATTCAATCTGCGCATCAATTTTGAGCCGTTGCCACAATTCCAATTCGTCCGCACTGGCCGTCGAAACCAGCTCCGTCAGACCCAGAATTGCGGCATAGCCTGCTTCATGGGCATCCGGGTAATCAGGAAAATCACGCACCACGCGCTGGTAAGCGGCAACTGCACGCCCTGGTTCAGCGGCTTCGGTATACGATTCGCCCAACAGGAACAGATACTCGGCGGTACGAGGGTCCTGTGGGAACGTCACAATAATTTCTTCGTACCAGCCAGCCGCCTCCAGATACAGTGTTGTACGCTGAGCTGTAGCGTTCTTTACGGGCTGTTTGGCTGCCTGCTGGGCCAGATCAAATGCCTGGGCGTCCGCGTGTGCCAATTTGGCAATTTCAGACAGGTAGCCATGCAGGGTGGGCAGATATTCGGCGCGCACCTCTTCGCTGTGATGTGACCAGAACTGCGAGTAAACGCCATAACGCAGGATGAATTCTTTTTTCTTCGGCAACACATCACTTGGGAACCCTGCGTCCATCAGCGTCTTGATCATGCCGGTATGTGCAGCTGGTGCGCGTCGATCCAGCGAATTGTGTTCAATGAACGTCTGCCAGGTGGCCACATTGTCGAGGAAACGTTCTTTGCCGAAATAGTCGTCGGCCAGGCGCTGGTATGCCAGATACTGCCAATCCGGACGTCCACGTTTACGCATCTCATCAGCCAGGGTCTGGGCACCATCAAGATAGGCCAGCCCCAGGGTGATGACACGAAACGAGTCTTCCAGCATTTCATTGTCAATCGCCGTAAGATCTGCCGCGTCACCCTCAGCTAACAAGTTATCAACCACATTGAAAAACTGATGCAGACCTTCATCGAAACGCGAACGTTTAAATTCAGACCAGCCCAACATGTAAGACGCATTCTGGAAATAAGGCGTGCTGTCGCCAAGCTCAACAACGTAACCATAGTCAGCTGCAGCGGCACGATAATCTTCGCTGGAGAATTTGATTTCAGCGCGGCGGAAACGGCCTTCAGGAACGTATTCGCTGCCAGGGTGTTCGGCTATCAATCGATCAAGATAAGTCAGGGTTTGAGTCTGTTCGCCTACCAGGTCATGCGCACGCGCAAGCTGGTAGAGAATCGCATCAATCTCGTCGGCTGCATCAGCTTGTGCCAGCAGCTTTTCATAAAGTTCAACTGCGGGGCGATATGGATCAGCGCCACCTTCTATATCGAGATCCTGGCCTACTTCCATATGCAGGTCGGCAAGCCGCTTACCTACAGCGTGATTCTCACCACTGGAAGGCAGCAAGCCATATACTCTGTTGTAGGCCGCCATGACTTCATCCCGGGTCGGCTTAATGGCCGCAACCGGCGCCAGCTCCAGAGCAGGCAGGGCGCTGATTCTGCTGCCCAGGGTTGGGCCTTTGGTTTTCACAACGCCAGGCTCATCGCCACCTATCAATCCAAAGGTCATCCAGCTGCAACCCTGCGCAGCCAGAGCAAAAGAAATCAGGCAGGCAACGTGAAGGTTTTTTGCAGTTATAGATTTCATTGTGGCAACCCACCGGGCTGGAGCCCACCGGTAGACGCCACAGCTAACTGATCAGTTGCCCGAGCGATCGCAATTCGGGTCACCAGTAAATACTGCTGTACCTGATCCATTTCCTGCTGCATCCGACCACGTATTTCATCAGCCAGGAGGCTTTCACGACTGGTTCTGGCCGCATTGACCATCTGCGTGATGTCCGCCGCTCGGTCTTGAAAAACCAGAAAATCGGTGCCAACCCCGGCCATGAAATTGCTTTCCGCACCCTCGACACGTTCGATACGGGCATCCACATCAGCCAGCACTGTCAGCAGATCTTTATGCGATTTACTCAGCGTTTGCAGACGCGCCGCCCGCTCATCCACCAGGCGATAGAACAAGACACCTTCCAGGCGGGCAATACGTGCATTCCACTTGACACGATCTTTGTCGCTCATGTGTACCAGCAGTTGGCGCATGCCATCTAACTCTGTCAGCAGCTCTCTTTCATCCGGGTTCGCCAGGGGCATCATCCAAGCCAAATCCGGCATCGGCGTTGCAGCGCGTAGTGCACTTAACTCAGATTGCGCAGTATTCACACGAGCCTGCAGAGCTTCGCGTTTTGCCAACAAGCCTTCATCCTGCAACATGACCTGGGCCTGTTCGCCCCGGCGGCGCTGCTCAGCGGCGACCCGCTCCAGAGCATCAAGCTTTTCAGGAAGCGCACCTACCCAGGTTTCCATTTCATTGAGCGCACGCCACTGGGTGAGCGCCTGATTAATTTTGTCAGTGGCTAACCACTCAAGCCAATCCGTATGACCCAGCTGATCCTGCCATTTCTGCATCAGCAGCTGCATCTGCTCATCGTCTTGATCATCGTTAGCAAACACTTCCAGCAGGCTTTGCACCCACTGCGGATCTTCTGCTTCTGCTGACAGCCGCGTCAGGTCGTTCAGACGAGACATAAAACTTGCTTCAGCGCGCTGAAACTGCACCAGTGCAAGCTCCGTAGAGGCGCGCTGTTCACCCGCAAGCTTCTCCAGACTGAGTGGGAACCCGAGTCGAGCGGTTGCCGTACTGGGCGTCCAGTAGTCCTGCTCCTGCAGGGTCATCCAGATGCGCGCGGCTAATTCATAATCCTGGTTATCCATCGCCAGACCACCGTAGGCAGCCATAGCAACTTCCTGATAGCGCCCTTCACCCGGCAGAGCGCTGAGCACGGTTTCGGCACTCTGTGTGTCTTTCTGCTGGCGCGCGATAAGTGCCAGCGCCAGCTTCGCCCGTTGGCTGAGGTCATACGCCTCATCGCTGTAGGCAGGTAACGACGCAAGAGTCTGGAAGGTCTGCTGAGATTGAGGCAGCTGATCTGCCAGACGATAGGCAACGCCCAGGTTAAAAAGCCCATACGCGCGCAGCGGGTGGGTTTCTTCCATCAGATTAAAGTGTTGCGCAGCTTTGTCATATTCACCCAGATGCACCGCGTACTCACCGCGCATGTACTCCACTTCAGGGTGCAACTTCTGTTTTCCGAACCAGCTTTTACCCAGCTCTATATTCGCCAGCTGAGGGCCCAGAGCGTTCCAATCCTGCCGTCGGTGATATTCGCGAGCCAGGTGAAAAGATAAGCGCATCTGATCTAACGGCTCTATTTCGCCTTCAGGAATCGCGGCAAATGTCTGATTAGCGTAGTCGTACATGCCATCTGCAAATGCAAAACTACCCGCAGCCAGGTCAAATTGAGTTTGTTTCTCGCCTCTTCGCCCCTGCTGTTGTGCAACCAGTGCAGTTAACAGCGCAGCCTGATGATCTTCCTGGAAATACTCGTAGAGCAATGTGCCATAAGTCAGATCTTCAATAGGCGGCGTTCCAGCGCCAGCCAGAGCGCAGGTAAAAAGGAGTTCGCATAGAAATTGTTTCACTGCGGTATATCGCCTTTATTCGGTAGCGCTAATCACGCAAACCCAGCTAGTTGCTGACATCCGCAACAAAGTCAGGTTGGAAATCTGCAGTTTCATCGGAAATTGCCAGAGCAATAAAAGTCGGCTCGAATCCTTTTTCAAACTCCACGGTGGTGGCACGCCGGAAATCGCGCCCGTTGGGACCGCGACCGGTGAAAAAAGCGGTGACGCGATTTTCGCCCTGCTTCACGTTGCCTACGTAGAGTTTCTGCACACCACCACGAAACAGCGCATCTACCTGCTTCTCGGTGTACAAATGATGAGTCACTTCTTTGTTGTTGAGCTTCAAGGTCACAGCGTCGAGTTCAAAGAACTCGCCCACATCCATGGACAGGAACACTGACACCTGTGAACTGGCTGGAAAGAGCAGGTCTTCTTCAAGAATCACAAGATCCCGTTTGAGCTCCACCAGCGCTTTTTTGACATCTTCCATCTCAACGTCTAACGCTGCAGATTTAGTGTCTTCGGCCCAGACCAGAGCGCACCCAAACAACAGCAGAGCGGCGCCTATCGACTTAGCTATCCCTGTCATGCCAAAACCTCGTATCGAAAATTACTCGCGGATGAGTTTCTTAACCACTTCCACATATTTAGCTTCATCACCGGGCTTGTAACCTCGGTGGATGTAGCGAACAACGCCATCCCGATCCACCACTACAGTGCTCGGCATCGCCTCTAAATCGTATAGTTCGCTGACCGCCTGACCTTCGTCGATCAGCACAGGGAAAGTCACCTTGGTTTTATCAACCAGTTTCTGTGCAGGCTCTTCTTCGCCTTCTACATTAATGCCCCAGACTGCAAAACCGGTATCTTCATAGCGCTCATGCAGACGGTCCAGAATGGGCATCTCCTGACGACAGGGGCCACACCAGCTCGCCCAGAAGTTGATCAACAGAACTTCACCGCGGTGCTCTTCAAGACGTAAATTTGAGCCTTCCAGCGTTTTCAACGTGAAATCCGGTGCGTTTTCAGAAATCGGAACGTTTGCAGCCAGAGCGTGACTACTGAACAACCCTGTGCCAATCAGGAACACGCCTGCTACAGCAGACAGTTGGCCAGCTTGTTTGGCGACTGTTGAAATGAAACCGCTCAATGTGGTTTTCCTGTTGGTCATCGTTCCTCCCGACCTTAAGTTGCAAACTTTTGCAGGACATGACCCGCAGATGTTGTTTCATGTACAAATTGCAGTATCGCCGTCGAAGATTTTCCAGAGAGGTTGTTGAATCTGCGTCCTGTAATGCGCAACCCAGCCAACCCTCAGGTTTTTAACCTGACCCTGTCATCCTGACAGGCCCGCTTCCATGCGGTTTCTCTTCTTCGAACTACCGGCAGCTACTGCCTGTGGCTTCCAGCCACCTCACGCAACTCATCATGGGTTGCGATCAAAACGGGCCAATCCGTGGCCTGCTCCTCTTAAGTAACCGAGACCCGCCGACTGCTCGAGGCGCCACGTGATCGCACATCGACAGCGGATCTCGGCCGCTACTGTTGGGAACTACCCCCAAAAACTCATTCTTCAGCGATATCTCATCGCAGATGTCTCATCGCAGATGTCTCATCGCAGACTTCACGACGAATAACCGCACGTTACTTGTGCATGGGAATCCAGAAAGAGGCCTGAGTCACAGTTTGCAATGTGCCGCGGGTGCGACAGGGGATAAGGTCGGTCAAATGAGAACACCATCAAAACTGATGGTGAAAAGCGACTCTACTCGGGAGGCAATTCCATAAGATCCGCGGAGAACAGCAGCTGACCCTGGGGATCTATGATGATGGCGTCAATGCCGGGCAATCTATCTATGAGGGCTAAACCACGTTCCGGACCCAACACAAAAACACTGGTGGACAGCGCATCGGTAAAGGTCGCGTCAGGGCCTAGAATAGTGACACTCCAGGCGCCCGTGGCAGAGCGACCTGTGTTGGGATCGAGGATGTGGTGATAGCGCACGCCATCTTCTTCAAAGTAGCGTTCGTAATCGCCGGATGTTGACACTGCTGTGTCTACCAGCGGCAGCACAGCAGACATTTTGTCTTGCGCACGCGGGTGCTGAATGCCAACACTCCAGGGCTGACCGAGCCGGTCGCCAACAATGCGGCTGTCACCACCGGCAGAGACGCTGGCGTGGGCAACCCCGGCCTCCTGCAGGAGCGCAATCCCCCGATCAACCGCATAACCTTTGGCTATACCCCCAAGGGCAACATACACCTCTGGCCGACTGTAACGCACTCGTCGGCTTTGCGGATCCTGTTCAACATATCGATAGTTGATGCCCTGAACCGCCTTAGCAACCACTTCAGCATCCGGCGCTTTCGCTTCACGATAGTCGTAATATCGACCAACAGATGCATAGGTGACATCAAAAGCGCCCCCAGTAAGCTTGGAAACCTGATGCGCCTTACTCAATAACTCGAAGAGTTCTTCCGATACCTCAGTCCAGCCGTCAGGTGCCTCTCGATTCAGGCGCGACAATTCGCTGGATGCTTTGTAAGAGCTGAACTTTGCATCGATACGACGCATTTCATCCATCACCTGGGTAAGCAGTTGCGGGCCATCGCGTCTGTCAGGCAGGTAGAACTCGACGTGCACACGGGTACCCATGATGGCTTGAGTGTCCTGATACCACTGGGCATGGGCAAACCCTGTGATCAGCAACAGATACAATCCAGCAGATAACCCGAAAATCCTTTTCATGGGTGCAGTTTAGACGCCGGGCGCCCCAACAAACGCGGCTAAGCGCACAATTGCGCCGCTAAAGAGGAAATTGCAACGCCACGACGGGCCTGGCGGATAGAATTACGGTCATGTCCGGGCGTCACATACGCCAAAGACAAGCCGCTTGCCGGGTCGACCCAGGCTAACTGACCACCGGCGCCATTATGGCCAAAGGCCTCAGGCGAATTGGTTTTACCAAAACCTCGATAAGAGCGCGAATCATCGCCGCTGATGATGATCCCCAGGCCGCGGTTGGCCAACTTATTGAACATCATATCGGTCAGATCGCCGGTGCGGACGGTGCGTACCGAGGCCATCGTCGCGGGCGTCCACAATTCCACCCCATCCAGACCTCCGTGCAGCAAAGCCTGGTAAAACAGTGCGAGATCTGCTGCGGTGGCGTAACCGCCACCGCCAGGTACACCCACCTCACGAACAGCTGCGGTGTTGAAATTCAGGATGGCATCTTCGGTGACCTCCGAGTCCGGCGGTACAGGCATGCCCATTTTCTGGTAGTCCTCCGGGGTCAGCGCATCGCCACTGTGCACACAATCCAGTGCACGATGGTGATGTTCAGCTGGCAGACCCACAAAGAGATTGTTGAGCTGCAACGGATCGAGCACTTTACTGCGCACAAATTCTGTAAAACCCAGACCCGAGCGGCGCTCGATAATTTCCGCTATCACCCACATGGACGACGAAGGATGGTATTCAAACTTCGATCCGGGTGGCCAGGTCAGACGCCATTGCGCAAACCGACCATATCGCTCTTCTTTATTGTTCCATTGAACGGGTTTAAACGGTGCGTGAGGGAAGCCGGCGGTGTGGGTAAACAACTGCCCCACCGTGACCGCATCTTTACCGTGGGTATTGAACTCCGGAATGATGTCAACAACACGCTCGTCTTCTTCCAGGTTACCGGCTTGAAACAACAACCACGCTGCAGCCGAGGTGATGGCCTTGGTTGCGGAAAATATGGGTGTCAGCGACTCAGCCTGCGCGTCACCATAGCTTTCAAACACACCTACTTTACCATCACGGGCAATGGCAACCTGAGCAGCGGGCAATAACCCTTCTTCTACTTCCTGCCTCACTCGGGCGAGAAAAGCCGTCACTTTCTGTGCATCTAATCCAATCGATTGTGCATCTGATATTCGGTGGGCGGGCATACGGACCTCTCTTTTTTGGGAACGGACGGGGGCTAAAAACGATGACGCTAAGCGTACCGAGCAGCGCCCACAGAAGCGAGCCCCGGAAAAACACAAATGCCGGACCAGCAGGTGAGAATTAGGCTGAGATTGCCTAGAATCAACCTGCATTTTTTCAGGTTTGATCTATGAACATATTGTCCGGGCTTGCCGAGTCTATCGGCAACACGCCGCTGATTCGTATTGACAGCTTATCCGCGGAAACCGGTTGCGAGATTCTTGGTAAAGCTGAATTCATGAATCCGGGAGGCTCGGTTAAAGACCGTGCCGCACTCTGGATGGTTCGGGAAGCTGAGCGCAGCGGAGCCTTGCAGCCTGGTGGCACAGTGGTGGAAGGTACTGCTGGCAACACCGGTATTGGTCTTGTTCACGTCTGCAACAGCCGTGGCTACGACACCGTGATCTACATGCCCGACAATCAATCTGACGAAAAGGTCAACATCCTGCGGACGCTGGGCGCTGAAGTCCGTGTCGTGCCCACCGTGCCCTACGCCGATGATAATAACTTTCAGAAGCAGGCTGGGCGTTACGCGCAGACGCTGGACAACGCGGTGTGGGCCAACCAATTCGACAATGTTGCCAACCGACAGGCGCATATGGAGTCAACTGGACCTGAAATCTGGACACAGACTGATGGCAAACTTGATGCCTTTACCTGCGCTGTGGGTACCGGAGGCACTCTGGCGGGCGTTTCACGGTATCTGAAAGCACAATCTGAAGACGTGCAGATCTGGCTCACCGACCCGCATGGCAGCGCGCTGTACAACTGGGTGAAAACAGGCACGGCAACGATGACACCTGGGCCTTCAATCACCGAAGGTATCGGCAACTCACGTATCACCGACAATCTGGCCGGCACTCCCATCGACGACGCAGTGCAGGTACCCGACCAGGACATGGTCGACATGGTGTATCGCATGCTGGAAGAAGATGGCTGGTTTTTTGGCTCCAGCACCGGTATCAACCTGTGCGGAGCCGTTGAAGTGGCCAGACGTCTTGGCCCGGGCCATAGAATCGCAACGATACTGTGTGACGATGGCAGCAAATATATGTCACGCCTGTTCAACCCGGAATTTCTGGCCGAAAAAGGCCTGACACGACATTCACAATCCTGAGAGCATCTATGCAGATTCACGCCGCGCCGTTAACAAAGCTTGTCACCGAAATATTTGTCACCGCCGGAGCAAGCTCTGCCGATGCCCGTGAAGTGGCCTCCCATCTGGTTGAGGCCAACCTGAAAGGTCACGACAGTCATGGCATCGGTATGACACCCGCCTACATAGGCAATATAAAAGCCGACCTGCTGAAGGTGGGTGCCCAGGCTAATGTGATCAAAGACAGCGGCGCGGTAATGGTCATCGATGGTCAGTTCGGCTTTGGCCAGGTGGTCGGGCGCCAGGCGACTGACATGGCCATTGAACGGGTTAAAACCACCGGCGTTGTCTGTGCAGGTGTACGCAACTGCCACCATCTGGGACGTATTGGCACCTACGCTGAACACTGCGCGGCAGCCGGTTTAGTCTCGATTCATTTTGTTAACGTTGTGGGACACGCTCCGCAGGTATCACCCTATGGTGGGCGCGATCGGCGCATGACCACCAATCCATTCACCTGCGCGGTACCCCGCCACAATGCCCCGCCGGTGGTACTGGACATGGCCACCTCAGCGGTAGCGTTAGGTAAAGTCCGGGTGGCTTACAACGCGGGTAACGAAGTGCCTGCTGGGGCGCTGGTCGACCATGAAGGCGCCCCCACCACCAACCCAGCGGTTATGTATGAAGAACCCTTTGGAGCGCTTGGACCGTTCGGGCAGCATAAAGGGTATGGCCTTGCTGTGATGTGTGAACTCCTCGGCGGCGCACTGGCCGGTGAGTGGACCGCACAACCTGAAAATCACCGCAGTCACCATATCGTCAACCATATGTTCATGTGTGTCATGGACCCCGAGGCGTTTGGCGGCCTGGACAAATTCAATCATGAAGTGGATGCCATGGTGGACTATCTGCACAGCACCACCCCCGCTAAAGGTTTTGACAAAGTTCGTGTACCTGGCGAACCGGAACGTGAAAGCAAGGCCCTGCGCGAAGCGGAGGGTATTCCCATAGATGACACCACCTGGAATGGCCTGCTTAAAGCAGCCACAAGCGCGGGTCTGAGTGATGAGCAGATTGACGCGTTGATTAACGCCTGATG